TGCTGGAGATCGAACCTGGGTTGGATGCGTGTAAGGCAAAGGCCCTACCTGCTATCTGGCCCCCTGAAAGCTGCTTTGAGAATCCACTTCATTTGCTGGCATCTGTCTAACTCCAGTTCCCGTAGGGCTGCTCCCTACTCCATCCCCTGCACTCGGGCTCAAATGCAGAACGAGGACGATGTTGCGGTGTACTCATCTCGTCATGAGTTCAGATCAATTACTAGGGGAACAAATCCAGTAAAGCCCACACTAAGTATCTGCCCTAATTTCCTCCCTTCTCCTGAGAGTGCCGAATCCTAACCACTGGACCACCAGGGAGCTTACCTCCCTTCTCCTGAAAACCCGTTTCTTACTCATCAGTCTAGGGACCGATGCATTTCCTAGGGAAGTTCCCACTGTGGAACCTTCTGTGGTTGTGGGCAGGACAATCTTCTCCAGGTCCCCTTCCTCTCTGCTCCCACACGTCGCTGGCTTTCTCCTGGCTGGCACAGACCACAGTGCACACATCTTAGTGCCTGCAGAGTCCCCCGGGACAGAGAGCTTCTGGGTTTCAGCTCTTTGTTCCCCAGGGCCTTGTTCAAGGAACAGGACAAGTACAAAGTCCCATGCCAGTACCTTATTAGCCCTAATGGAATTAACCAGGTTAATTTAGTCAACTCACCTCAGGGCATCAATAGTTTGTGCATCTGAGGCCAGAGCAATAGTACAACGGATAGGGCATTTGCCTTGCACAGAGCTGACCAGGTTTGATCCCTGGCACCCCACATGTATGGTCCCCTGAGCACCGCCAGGAGTGATTCCTGAGTGCAGAGCCAGGAGGGGAGCAGGAGGAGGAGGAGGAGGAGGAGGAGGAGGATAAGGAAGAGGAAGAGGAGGAGGAGGAGAAGAAGAAAGAGGAAGAGGAGGAGGAGGAGGAGAAGGAAGTGGAAGAGGAGGAGGAGAAGGAGGAGGAGTTCGTGCAGCTCTTTCATGCTGGTGCAGGTGAGGCAGAAGCAGCCACAGCTGTCTCTGTTGCTTCACAGTTCCCAAGTTCTTCAATATTCTCAAGAATGAAAATATTAAATCATAAAGATGTTCAGACTCAGAGTTGGAAAGTTGCAAAGTAGAAAAGTTTATTGAAAAGCAGAATTTAAAAAAAAAAAGCCTCTGAAGTGGGTGTTAAGTGGCCACCAGCCTGAGCTCAGCCACTGACTGAGACCCAGACAGGACAGATACTCAAGGTTTTATTCACACACCGAAACACACTCAGAAAAGGGACTCAGCACTGAGGGTTCGCAGGCTGGGACCGCTCCCTGGTCTTGGAACCCTGATCGCCCTCAGGAAGAGGTTTCTAAGCATCTGCCCTCCTGCCTGCGTGTCTGGGTACCCCCGGCCAGGTGCATCTCAGGCCCTGAGCCAGAAGCTGAGGGACAGAATCGAAACAGGACTGTTAACACAACTTGCTACATTGACTGGAATCACCTGTGTTATCTGATCTGTGGTCATGTCTGGGCAGTTCGGTCCATGCCCTTGGGGTCTGGCACGGCCAAGAGGCTTCTTCTTTCAACACGGAGGGCCAAAGGGATACATTGCTGCATCCACTTTTCCTGTCTTCTCCTCACAGACAGCAAGGAATACTCCTCTCCTCAGCGGTTCCTGATGAAGCACCGAGCACAGGGAGTGGAGAAAACTAACGCTCACTTACTTCAAACCTGACATTCCCTTGGCCGGGTACAGAGCTCAGGAAGTGACAGTGATGTGATGGGCATAAAAAATGTGGTTGTTCTTTTTTTTTTTTTTTCCTTTTAGCAAATTAAAACTCTGCAGGAAGAAAAAGAACACGGTCTCTGCCCTTTAGAGAATGACACTCTCCAGACCATAAAGTCAATGTACAAAGGTAGAACTGTGTCAGCTCTGGATGGAAACTGTGAGGTGCTGGTCACAAAATCACCCACCCACTTGGTGGGGAGGAGGGACATGAAGGTGGGGTGGGCTGAGCAGGATGGGGAGGGGGGCAGTGTGGCGAAGGGCATGGTGTCAAAACATTGTAAACATGAAACCCTATGATAACATGGGGCCCCACAATTAATGACAATGAAAAGCCCAGGAGAACTCCAGGGGGAACTTAGCTGCTGTTTGTTTATTTATCTTGGAAGGGGCTTGAGGGCCGCATGCACAATGCTGAGGGCTGACTCCTGTTCTGGGCTGAGGGATCACGTCTGTCAGTGTTTGGGGACCCTATGCAATCCCAGGGATTGTAACTGGGCTTGGCTGCATGCAAGACAGTTAGCTGATACTTAAAAGAACAAGGTACAGGGCTGGGAGATAGGATAGCTGTCACAACTTGCTAGATTGACTGGAATCATCTGTGTTATCTGATCTGTGGTCATGTCTGGGCGTTTAGGTCCATGCCCTTGGGCTCTGGCACGGCCAAGAGGCTTCTTCTTTCAACAGGAGGGCTAAAGGGATATATTGCTGCATCCACTTTTCCTGTCTTCTCACAGACGACAAAGAATACTTCTTTATCCTTGCCCGCATTCACCTCAGGCTGACTCTCAGGCTTCCCATATGGTCCCTGAGACTCAGTAGAAGTGATCCCTGAACATCACCAGGTGTGGTTCCCAGGAGCTGAGGAGAAAGCCCAAGTGACAGAGCCCAGGGCTTTTATTATTTTGGGGGGTCAACACCCCGCAATGCTCAGGGGTTACTCCTGGCTCTGCACTCGGGAATTACTCCTGACAGTGCTCAGGGGACCACATGGGATGCTGGGAATTGAACCTGGGTCAGCCGCATGAAAGGCAAACACCCTACCCGCTATGCTATCACTCCAGCCCCGAACCCAGGGCTCTGAACACCATTTTACCATCTAATAAACATGGAAGTTGGGGTACTTTTTTCCCCGAACCTTGGTTTCCTCACCTTAAAGTAAAAGTGTTAGTACTTACCACAGTGTTGCATGTAAATAAGTGAGTCCGGGACCCAGAGAAAGAGTACAGGGGTGAAGGCACCTGCCTTGCATGCAGCCAACCCATCCGATAATCCACAGCACTGCATATGGTCCCCACCACTCCCAGGAGTGCCTGAGCACACCACTGGGAGTAGCTCCCCCGACAGAAGTGAATCTACTAAGTTATGCTACCAGCACAACTGATGCCTAATGAAATACACAATGATCAATATTACGCCTCAATTATTTACTGGAATTTTTAGAAAGAAGTTTGTAATTGTTCAAAATGAAATTTGCTTCTAATAGGAATTGTGGGAATTTTCCATCAGTGTTCAGAATAGCACCCAATTATTTAACTCAGAGTTAATTTGGGATCTCGATCTCGCTGTATTTCTCATTTTTCTAAAAAGGACTTAAATTTTTCATTACACACTGTAGGAAAAGTAGAACATAGGAAGAGGCAGAGTCACAATGAAAAGCTCTGCCCTTCATTCCTTCCATCTTGATTCACTGCTAGCAGTGTTCGGGGGACCATATGGATGCTGGGGATCGAACCCAGGTCAGCCACACGCAAGGCTAGTGCCCTACCTGCTGTACTATCACTCTGGCCTCCAAAACTTCACTCTCGAATGGTGGCGCTGTTTTCCAAGTCTATGACTTATACCCTAATGCAGAAACCTGGTTTTCAATATTTCACCTTAAAAGTGATGCTGCATCCAACAAGCATTAGCTTAGGCCCTGAATCCAACTTCTACCCTCTCACCAAGCCATAAGGTCGGGAGATGCTGACCTGGAAAGATGTGTCTTTGGAATCCAGGTCTGACTACATCTTCCCTTGTTCTCAGACTTCCTGTAGGTTTGGCCAAGCAACGGGGCCAGAATCCTGGCAATGTTTGAGGGGAGAGCGAGTGCAGTGGGCTAAGGCACTGGCCTTGGGCATTGCCTTCCTCTGTGATACAGCCAAGTTCAGTCCAAATCCCCAATGTCACATACGGTCCCCTAAGTATCACCAGATACTCATAATAAGCTCAGTTCTACAGATCTGTCACTCCTGAGCACAGAGCCAGGAAGACTCCCTGAGTACGGCCATGGGTGGCTCAAATTCCCTAAAAAAAAGGTAAATTAAAATGAAATATGGCTGATTTCCTTTTATCCACTTCCCTTCACGTTCTGTCCAAAGTGAAATCGCTGTTATGTCCATGAGGAACTGGGTGTTGGTCAACCTAATTGACTTGCACCCAACTCTAGAACAGGCACAAGAAAAGGGAGCTTTCTTTTTCTTGTGACTTTTCAGAATGAGCCAAAGTGCTACACTCATCTTTTTCTTCCTACCTGACCCTGCACTTTTGCATTTTTCTTTCAGTGGCCATGATTGTGTTCTATTAATTATAGGGTTTCATAAGTTGCTCCCAAACCATACTCCCATCACCCATGACCATTTCTCAGGGTCTCCTCTTCCTCCTCACCCCCAGTCTCCCCATCATAGTAAGCTCAGTTCTACAGATCACGTCAAATTCTGTTGCTTTAACCCGTTCATTTTGCCCTTATGATGCTTCTTTATATTCTACACATGACCATGCGTCAATCCTTCTCATTCTGGCTGACTTTATCCATTTTGATCCAGGCAGTGGTAAATTGCATGATTACGTCTTTTCTTATGGCTGAGAAATATTCCATTATGTAGATGTACCTTGGTTTAATCCAGACATCTGTTCTTGGACACTTGGGTTGTTTCCAGATTTTTGGCAATTTTCAAGTGCTGTGATAAACAGGGAGTGTGAAGTCCTTCCAGAACAGTGTTTTGGAGCCCTTGGGTTTGGTACCCAGAAGTGGAATTATATGGAGGTTCCATTCTTAGTTTATTTTAGAGGTGTCCATATTCCTTCCCAAAAGGTTTGATCAGGCCATATTCCCACCAGCAGTGGATGAGGGTCCCCTTTCCCACAGCCACACCGATACTGGTTGTTGCTGTCCTTTGTGATGTGTGCCATTTTCTATGGGGAAAGGTGAAATCTTGTGGCTGTTTTGATTTGCATTTCCCTGACAATCAGTGATGCAGAACAGTTTTTCTTACTCCTCTTGCTGATGTCTATGCATTCCTTGAGGAAGTATCTGTTCATCTCCTCGTTTTTGGATGGGTTCATTGCTTTTCCTTGTTATGTTTTACAACTACCTAATATACCTTGGATAATAGCCCCTTGTCACATGAGGAGTGGGCAAATATTTTCTCCCAGTCTGTGGGAGAAATCCTCATAAAAAAAAAAAATCCTTTGGGGCTGGAGAGATAGCACAGCGGGCAGGGCGTTTGCCTTGCACACAGCCAACCCGGGTTCGATTCCCAGCATCCCATAATGGTCCCCCAAGCACTGCCAGGAGTGATTCCTGAGTGCAGAGCCAGGAGTAACCCCTGAGCATCGCCGGGTGTGACCCAAAACGCAAAATAAATAAATAAAAAAATAAAATTATTTTGTGCCTGCAAAAGGGGCAGGCTTGGGAAGTACATGGGAAAGCAGGGCCAATGGTGGAGGGACGGTCACACTGTTGCTGGGACTGGTGTCAGAACAAATGACATTAAAATAAAGTTTTAAAAATAAATTTTAAAAATAAAATATCTTAAAACATAAATGAAATATGACTGAAGAAGTTACTGTAGCCATTAGCTTCACTGTGGGTGCGTAAACATTGGTACAGAAAATGTTTTCAGTTTTTCCCAGTTAAAAAAAATGATTAGGAGAGAGTTAAGAGGGAATGTGCCTGCCACAGAGGCGGGGTCGGGGGTGGGGTGGAAGGCGGGGGCGGTGTGCGGGATACTGGAAACATTGGTGATGGAGAAAGGGCACGGGTGGAGGGATGGTGCTCGAACACTGTATGACCAAAATGTCATCATGTAAGTTTGTTAGTCTGTAACTGTATCTCACAGTGATTCACTAAAATAAAAACAAATAAAAAAGAAAATGGTTAGGCTGCCACACACGCAGCTGTGCAACACCTCCGAACTTCACAGAGCCGACAGCCCACAGGAACATTAGTTGGGAAGGCTGAGTAGCAGCCCACGAAGCTCCATGCGCGAAACAATAGCACAGAAGGTTCAACTCACGCCTACCAGTTTGGCAATCCCTGGGCCAGGGCTTTACTAACACCATTAAGTGATATACATTGTAAGACGCAATATAAAATAAATTAATTAGCGCCTGCTAAGGGAGCAGACTGCGGGTGGGGGTAGGAAGCTAGGGACTTTGGTGGAGGGAAGGGCACACTGGTGGGTGGGGCTGATGCTGGAATACTTAACACCTCAAACAACCGCACTGTGAACAACTATGTAAGTCATGGTGTTTTAAATAAAGTTTTTTGGTTTTTTTTTTTTTTTGCTTTTCGGGTCACACTCAGCGATGCGCAGTGGTTACTCCTGACTTGCACTCAGGAATCACTCCTGGCGGTGCTCAGGGGACCACATGGGATGCTGGGAATCGAACCCGGGTCGGCCGCGTATAAGGCAAACGCCCTACCCGCTGTGCTATTGCTCCAGTCCCTTAAATAAAGTTTTAAAAATTTAAAAACTAGGAAAGAGGGGCTGGAACGATAGCACAGCGGGTAGGGCGTTTGCCTTGCACGCGACTGACCCAGGTTCGATTCCCAGCATCTCATATGGTCCCCCAAGCACCGCCAGGAGTGATTCCTGAGTGCATGAGCCAGGAGTAACCCCTATGCATCGCCGGGTGTGACCCAAAAAAGCAAAAATAAATAAAAACTGGGAAAAAAATGGTTTAGGGGCTGGCCTGGGTGTTAAATGTCAGGGTGCGTGTGTGTGAGAGGGGCAGGCATTCAGCAGAAACTGCCCTGGGAATTCTGATCACGCACCAGAGGGCACTCCTGGGACCTGGGGGGTAGCTGGAGAGGCAGCCCAGTGATGCCTGAGGGCAGAAGGGCCAACACTGACCACTATGTGTGCAGGCCGGGTGGTGGTTCCAGACACAGCCGGCCCTAGACTCACCATGGTTTGACCAAGCTCATCTTCCTTCACTGGCAAAGGCACAGCCGGAAGTAGCCAGGTCTGGGCTGGGGAAACCTGCCAATTTCAGCAGGGGCCTGAGGGGGCGGGCGGTCAGCGGTCAGGGAGTGCAATCCTCGCCCCACTGAAGGACCATGTGCATGTAAAAGCCTAAAGAAACACCCGAAAGTAATAATAGTGATAGTTTCCACATGGTGGCGTGAAGGGTGCTTATTACTTCCATCCAAGTAATAACAGAGTAATTCAAGTATACCATGACTCAGTATTATTAAAATAATGTGGTTAACAGATGTACTGACTGACCCCATTGTGGGGGGCATCATTTCACAATACCCACCTGTATCAAGTCATCACCCTGGTGCACCTCCAGCTTACCCCAGGGACTGAGAAACTTACCTCAATGAGTCTGGAGCCGGGTGGGGGGAACGGAACACCCATGACAAAGTAGTCAGATGATGCTCATTCAGTAACAGTACTCAGAACAAAACTTGTACTTCAAGCATATGCCCCAAAGAAGGAAATTATTACATGGACAGTAAAATATAAATGTTTTATTTATCAACTTTTAGATGCATCTACTTAATACCAAGACGTTTTTAAAAACTGCATTAAAAGATTGTCAGGTAACATTTACTGGGACTTAGGCTGGCCTTACTTCATGAAGATCATTAATGTAAGTAGCACTGTAGCACTGTCCTCCCATTGCTTATTGGTTTGCTTGAGCAAGGCACCAGTAATGTCTCCATTGTGAGACTTATTGTTACTCTTTTTGGCATACTGAATACGCCACGGGGAGCCTGCCAGGCTCTGCTATGCGGGCGGAATACTCTCGGTAGTTTGCCGGGTTCTCCGAGAGGGAGAGAGGAATCGAACCTGGGTCGGCTGTGTGCAAGGCAAACGCCCCACCTGCGGTACTACCGCTCCAGTTCATTAATATAAGTAACATTCATATTCTAAAGCGATCTAAAATAGAAAATTATGAGTCTACAAAAAAGATACCAATTCCTACTAAAAGCCTCCAATAAACTACATGTTATTCCCCTTATTATAACCAGGGGCATTTCAGAGAGCTTACCAAAGAATACTCAAGAGTGAAAAACAGTAATATATTTTTTAAAAAAAGGCAAAAATAATATATACAAAAATTAGCACCAAGAGAGACTTTGTGAAAGAGACAGTCATAAGGACAATAGCTGCCGTGGCTGACCATGGGAAGGGGGACTCAGTGCTGGCCCCTGGCTGCCCCAGGAGAGCGATTCCATCTCACTTCAGAAATCTGTGCCAGAGCACAGCACAATCAAAATTCTCCTAAATTTACCGTGATGAAAAATTCACCATCTTGTCTCTCTTTCTCAAATGTCATCACGGAGCAGTTAAAAACACAAACACAGGGGCTGGGGCGATAGTCCAGCCGGGTGGGCATTTGCCTTGTATGCAGCTGACCCGGGTTCCATCCCCCACATCCCAAAGGGTCCCCCCCACCCCCAAGCACTGCCAGGAGTGATTCCTGAGAGCAGAGCCAGGAGTGAGCCCTGAGCATTGCCAGGTGTGACCCAAAAACAAAACACAAAAACAAGAAACAACCAGTCGTAGCTTCTGTGGGCCGCTCAGGCCACGAGAGCTGGTCATCACAGAAGCACCATCTGGCCCGTGTCCTTTCTGGTCATCGCAGAAGAACTACCTGGCCAGTGTCCTTCCTTGTCATCATAGAAGCACCATCTGGCCCGTGTCCTTTAAGGGAGTCAAGGAGCCTCATTCCAGGATACGCCGTCATCACAGAGAAGGGCCCCAGAAACGAAAAGGTGTGTATAAGACTGCACAAAAGTCATAAAGAAATCATACTTGTGGAAAAAAAAATTCCACTTGCACACACATTTAAAGAAATACCTTCAGAAGAGAGGACCATTTAGCACCTGTATTACAAAAATCAAAGTAAAAGATGATTTAAAGGGTGCGGGAGTGATACCACAGCGGGTAGGGCATTTGCCTTGCATGCTGCCGACCCTGGGTTCGATTCCCAGCATCCCATATGGTACCCAGAATACCACCAGGAGTAATTCCTGAGTGCATTAGCCAGGAGTACCCCCTGTGCATCGCCAGGTGTGACCCAAAAAGCAAAAAAAAAAAAAAAAAAAAAAGATTTAAAGAAGTCAGGACCAGGGTCCAGAAATAGAGTACAGGGGTTAAAGCACTTCCTTTGCAAGCAGCTGACCCCAGTATGACCTTCAGCACAGCATAGGGTGCCCTGAGCAATGCCAGGAGAATGTTCTGAGCACAAGTCCAGGAGTAGCACCCGACATGGCCCAAAAATGAAATTAAACTAATCATAACAACAATAATAATATATTCACAGCCAGAGGCAGCTCAACAGGCTGGGTGCAAGCTACAAGGTTCAATGCCTCGTAGCACACCGTCCCCAAACACAACCAGGTATGGCCCAAAACCCAAAACCACAATTCAGTATAATGTCAATGTTTCTTTTCTGTTTTTCTGGGTCACAACTGGTGGTGCTCAAGGTTTACTCCTGGCTCTGCACTCCAAGATCACTCCTGCTCGTGATCACTCGGGACCACATGGGTTACCAGGGATCAAACCCGAGTGGGTGGTGTTCACAGCAAGAGGCCCTGCCCTAGCTTCCTAGCTCTTCTGCCCCTGTTGTCAATTTTTTTTTTAATTGTGAAAGGGGAGACTTGGGCCATACTCACAGTGCTCTGGGCTTACTATTGGCTGTCAGTTCAGAGATCACCCCGGCAGTGCTCAGAGAAACCTCTAATTGATGCTTGGGATGGAACCCAGGTCATCTGCAGGCAAGGCAAGCACAGTTCCCACCCGTCAATTTTAAGAAGAGGGCTGGCCAAGAATGCAGCTCAGCGGCAGATAACCTGCCTTGCATCTGTGAGGCCCTGGGTTCAATCCCTGGCACCACAAACACACACACACACACACACACACACACACACACGACAATTGCATTTAAAATTTGTTCCAAAGAACTGAACAATCACAGAATGAGGGATCATGATTCCATAACAGGAAAAAAAAATGCATCAAAATGCCCACCCATTATATATGTGAACAGACGTGGAAAGACTGTTTTCTCAGTGAGAGTATCATGGGCACGTCCTCTATGAACACAGCAACATACACTCGGCACAGAAACACAACAGACCACTGATGCAACTAACGGACAGACGTGTGCCTTCCAGGGGTCAGATGCGGGCGGTTCTCAGGTCTGTGCCCTGACGCGACCCCATAGACGTTCCACCCCCAATGCCACCCCCACCTGCACCCCAAGTTCATCCTGCCTTCGGCCACTTTCTCCTTTTCCACTTTCCGTCCCCACACCAGCTGAGGGTAAGGGGGGGGCCAAGGTTAGGCTCAGCAGCCCGGCTCGGCCCCCGCTATGCGAGTGCACCTTCGGCCAGGCAAGCTGCTTCTCCCTCACTGGCGTCGCGCCGGGCTGCCTAGCCGAGACTCCTTAGTGGGCTGAGCGGGGACAGAAACCGGGGTAGGGGGGGCTGCGGCCCCAGGGCCTCCCGGCTGGCTCAGGCCCGGCGGGGGGTCCGCAGAAGCAGCCGAAGTATCTGGAACACGGAAGAGAGAGATGAGGTTTCTGAGGGCGCCCGCTCAGCACCTCCATGGTGAGCACAGTGGGACAGAGTGGACCCAGGCCTGCGGGAGTGACATCCTTAACCTTCGGCTCTTGGCCACCACAGCGTCCTTCCCGGGAGAGAACTCAGCAAACCCAGGAGGGCCGGGGGGCATAGTCCTGAGCACTGTGCTCAGGAGTTCTGGGTGTGGCTCCAAAACATAAGAGCCAAGAACAGGGATGGAGAGAGAGGACAGGGGGGACACTGGCCTTGCAGGCCACCGACTCTGGTTCAACGGCCAGCAGGCCTCCGAGCCTGGCCAGGAGTGCTCCCTGAGCACTGCCAGGTGGATCCCCCCAAATAAGAAAGACCAGGTGGACCAGGACCAGGTGATGGTGATGAGGATGATAAGGTCAATTCACAAAAGAAGGCCTTTTTTTTTTTTTTTTTTTTGGTGTTGGGGACACATTCGATGGTGCTTGAGGCTCACTCCTGGCTCTGTGCTCAAGGATCACTCCTGAGGATGCTGGTGCTCGAACCCAGGTTGAGCCCGTGTTCGGAAGCCTCCTCCCCGCTGTACCGGAACTACTACCCTGCATCGGAAGGCGTTCACAGGGCTCTCTTCCCAGCCTCACTTTTTTTTTCCTTTTTGGGTCACACCGGCAATGCTCAGGGGTTACTCCTGGCTCTGCAGTCAGGAATCACTCCTGGCAGTGCTCAGGAGACCATATGGGATGCTGGGAATCAAACCCGGGTTGGCTGCATGCAAGGCAAACGCCCTACCAGCCGTATTGTCACTCCGGCCTCTAGCCTCGCTTTCTTTTCTCTTTTTTTGGGAGGTGGACTTTTTGGGTCACACCCAGCCGATGATCAGGGTCTACTCCTGGCTCTGCACTTAGGGATCACTCCTGGAGGCACTCGGGGGACCCTATGGGATGCTGGGAATCAAACCCGAGTCAGCCAGGTGCAAGGCAAATGCCCTTCCCGCTGTGCTATCATTCTGGCGCCTCCAGCCTCACTTTCAAGCCCCAACTGCCCTGCTGACAACCCTCTCCCTGCCTCAGCGCTCTCCCCGCATCCCGCATCCCCCATCCATCCGGCCGCCCTGCCCCCCGCGGAGCTTGGGCGCTGGTGCTCACCTCCGTTCCCCAGCGTCTCGTGCAGCTTGCCATGCCTATAGGCGGAGATGATCTGGAAGTTGACCACGCTGAGCGCGTCCAGCCCCTGGTCCTGCAGCAGCTTCAGGGAGGCAGCGTGGATGAGCTGGTGGGAGCGCCGGCACACCGGGAGCCTGCACTCGCCCCGGACGAAGGACTTGCACACGTGGAACTTGGTGCACTGCTCCCGGAGGCCGCAGTAGCCGTGCTGGGCCTCGCCTTTGTTGTAGAGCAAGCAGACCTGGGGGGTCGACACAGCCGCCCCTCAAGTGTTTGCTTTCAGGGGCCACTCCCCGCAATGCTCAGAGCACTACAGAGGTCACCAGGGATCGCACATGGACTGGCACAGGCAACCCCGTGCCCACGCACCAACGGCTGGGGAAGGGGACACCCGGGTGACATGGAATGGTGAGGCCACGCAGCTCGCCGCGGCACGGATGGATCGGGGAGCCTCGTGCTAAGCCAGAGGGAGGCAGAGGCAGGAAGAAATGGTGCGAGTGTAACTGAGACCGTGGACTCTGGGAAGCTTCCGCTCGTTTTGATTTGGGCCACACACCCAGCAGTGCTCAGGGGTCAGTCCTGTGGGTACTAGGGGCAGAACCCAGGTTGGTCATGTGCAAAGCACGTAACCTGCCTTGCATGGGGACAATCCATGTTCCACCCTGGCAGGCCATAGGGTCCCTGTAAGGGGACCGGCCGGGTGCCTCGCCCCAGCAAGGATACATCTCAAAATCAAATGTCTCATGTTGTGCTGAAAGGAGATAAAGGATCACACATGATGGCTTCTCGGGATCCATATTGCAAACCATAGGGCCCGCTCGAGCAAATCGATGAACAACGGGAGGACAGTGACAGTGACAGTGAATGCACAAAGGATACTGGAGACACTGGTGGAGGAAAATGTACACTTGTGGAGGGATGGGTGTTTGATCACTGTACGACTGAAACTCAAATATGAAAGCTTTGTAACTGTAGCTCACGGTGATTCAATTAGAAAGAAAAAAACATGAAAAAAATAGACTGTAGCTTGTAGGTGAACTTTGTATTCCTTTATAAAATGTAAGAAAACTTGTGAAAAACAAACAAACAAATGTCCGCAGGGCCAGAGAGCTCCAAGGCAGGGGTATAGGCGGGCTTGCAGGAGGCCTGGCCTCTCAATCACCACCCAAACTGGCCCTGGTGTGCTGAGCACAGCTGGCTGGAGCCTCAAAGTCAAAAAAAAAAAAAGTCAAAAAAAGTGTCCAGAAAACCAAAGAAAGCAAATCTGAACATTAAAGTCTACTCGTCGCTTTTTTTATTTTGATTTTGGGGTCACACCTGGCGGTGCTCAGGGCTCACTCCTGGCAGGCTGGGTGTACTGTATAGGGTGTTCAGGGATTGAACCCCGGTCAGCTGCGTGCAAAGCAAAAATGCCTGGCCCACTGTGCTATCACTCTGGCCCCCAAAATTCTACTGTTTAGAGTCCACAGAATTCAGTGATGAAATGGAAACTGATGTTTTCTTGAAGATTTTTTAACAAATGCTTTCACCATTATGCAGGTTTAATTTTTTTTTTTTTTTTCGGTTAGGGGAAGACTGGCCTAGGACCAGAGAGATAGTTCCGGGTTTAAGACACTTGCCTGGCACGCTGCCACCCCAATTTGATTCCCAGGAGGGGGGATAAAAGGGGGCACACAGGGACAATGGTGGCGGAACGGCAACACTCTGGAGGAGGGTGCGGCACTGGAATGTTGTGGCCACAAATCCCTCTGACGGGATGATAAACCCAAGAGCTGTTATAAAAATTTTTTTCTTTTTTGTTTTTTGGGGGGCTACATCTGACGATGCTCTGGGGTTGCTCCTGGCTCTGCACTCAGGAACCATCTCTGGGGGTGCTTATGGGACCGTATGGGTGGGATACCAGAGATCACATCTGGGTTGGCGTGAGCAAGACGAGTGCCGTAACCTGCTGTGCTAATGCTCTGGCCCCAGTAAAGAGGGGGGAAAAAGACTCTTCTAAGTCACAAAAGCAACAAAAAACAGAAATTGCGCTTTCTGGTCCGAGGAGAACCAAGCAGCCTCTAGTTCAGCGTTGCAAAGGTGGACGATAGCGCCCCCTGGCTGGGACAAGGTTTTTGTTTGTTACTTATGGGGCTGGGCCACATCTGGCAAAGCTCAGGGCCTAGTCATGGCTGAAAGGGCCACTTGAGGGGTCAGGGATCAAACCCAAAAAGCAAAAAAAAAAAAAAAAAAAAAGCGGGGGTCAGAGCAAGAGTACAGCGAGTAGGGTGTTTGCCTCGCACCCAGTCGACCTGGGTTTAATCCCTGGCAACCCATATGATCCCCCGAGCACCGCCAGGAGTAAATCCCAAGTGCAGAGCCAGGAGTAACCCCTGAGCACCATTAGATGTTGCCAAATACTAAATTAATAAAATTTTTTTTATAGAGAGAGTAAGGTGCTTATCTTTTATTTTTTATTTTAATTTTTACTTTTTGGGTCACACCCAGCGATGCTCAGAGGTTACTCCTGACTCTGCACTCAGGATTTACTCCTGTCATTGCTCGGGGGACCATGTGGGATGCCGGTGATTGAACCCAGATCGGCAGTGTGCAAGGCAAATGCCCTCCCTGCTGCACTATCACTCCGGCCCCATAAAGGCACTTGTCATGCATGCAGTGGGCCCTGGTTCAATCTCTGACACCTCATACGGTCCCCCAAGTATGAACACAAAGCAAGGAGTAGCCCCTGAGCACCACCAGGTATAGTCCAACCCATACCCCAATATTTCTAAATTAAATAAAACTTTCCTTCAGGTCTAGCTAAACCAAACACGTCCGGTTACATCACAATAGCAATTTTAAGTTTTACGTGTTTGGAGATGAATCCTGTGGGTTCAAAGCAGCTACAATTAATATTTAAAGCCCAAAACAAATAAATGGGAGAAAAATACTGTGAACAAATGTGACCAAAATTTTTTGATCATAAAAAATACTTTCTAGGGACGAGAGAGATAGTCTGGGAGGCCAAACATTTGCCTGGCATGTGGCTGTGATGGGGCTGGAGCGATAGCATAGCGGTAGGGTGTTTGCCTTCCATGCAGCCAGCCCAGCCCGGCCCGGCCAAGCCGGGTTCGATTCCTCCGCCCCTCTCGGAGAGTTCGGCAAGCTACTAAGAGTATCTCGCCCACACAGCAAAGCCTGGCAAGCTCCCCGTGATGTATTCAGTATGCCAAACACAGTAACAACAAGTCTCATGATGGAGACGTTACTGGGCCCGCTCGAGCAAATTGATGAACAACGGGAGGACAGTGATACAGTGCTACAGTGGCTGTGATGATGACAAGCTGGTTCTATCCCGGCCACTGTGACTACCTGACATAGAGTCAAGATAACCCACAGCACTGCCAGTGTGGCCCAAAATTCTCCCTCCCCACCACACACACACCTAAAAATAACAAAATAAAACTTTGTTAATTAGCAGGAAAAGACAGGTGCCTCAGTAAAAAATACGGAGAAAGTAAACCATGGGGCCGGAGAGGTAATACAGCAGGTTGTGCACTTGCCTTGCACACAGCCGACACTGGTTCGATCCCCGGCTTCCCATATGGTCCCCTGAGCATCCCAGGAGTAATTCCTGAGTGCAGAGCCAGGAGTAATCCCTGAGCACCGCCAGGTGTAGCTCCAAAAGACACACATACACGCACTCACACACAACCATGGGCTACAAGAAGGCGGCTCAGTACCCCAGTGCCCACCTCAGATGTGTGCTGTCAGCAACCCCCACAGGAGCATGCCCCCCTCACCCCCCTCAGCACGTGAGCCCCAGACACCAAGGGAAGGTGAGGGCAATACAAGGACATGCGAGTGACGAAACATACACATCCTGTGAGACCTAGATTCACAGCTGCAGTCTGTTGTGAGTGACCTGGCCAAGTGCTTCTGTGACACAGGGCCAGGACACTCATGGGTGACAGCTCCCAGGACACCCATGGGTGCTTCCCCCTAGGACACCCACGGAGGATGGCCCCCAGGACACCCACTGGTGACAGTCCCCAGGACATCCATGGGTGACAACCTCCAGGACACCCACAGGCAAGAGCTCCCAGGACACCCACAGGTGACAGCCCCCTTACTCAGCTCTGTGCACTCCGTAAACCCTCAGAAAGCAGAAAAATTATTTCAGTTTTTTTTTAGGGTTTTTTTGGGGAGGCAATGCACTCCGGAATTTCTGGGGAAGTTTGGGGGACCATATGGGATGCCAGGCATACGACCTGGGTCGGGCCCATGCAAGGCAAACACCCTCCCTGCTGTGCTAACACTACAGCCCCAGGTAGTTAGTTCTATACCTTAAAGAGCCCCCACTCTGGTTTCAAAGCCCAGTAAAATCACGGACTCCCCAAAAGATCAGCACTAGGTTCCTCCCCTCAGGCAGTCTCTAAGCACTCTGCATTGTTGCCCTGATTTCTCTCACCTGGAGGGACAGTGGGAGGGACAGTGGGGGCCACGTACCTCTGGTAGGAGGCAAGGGTCGTTCTGCAGAAGCAAGATGCGAAGCTGAGCCTCGTTGAGGCCAAAAATCCCGTGATGCTTCAGGGCCTGGATGTTGACGGGCGTGTGGATGTCATGGGAGAGCGTGCAGGTGGACCTGCGTGGAGACAGGCGATTGGGCACCCAGGAGCAGGAACCGTCAGATTCTTCGTTTGGGGAGTCTTCCCATGCCCAGAGTTGAGGAACCCAGAGACCAGTCCCCGGGATGCAGCACCCAGCTGAAAAGGCTGGGTTGGGGCTGGAGCCAGGGCACAGCCTTGCACGCGGATGACCCAGGCTCAATCCCCAGCACCCCTCATGGTTCCGGAGACCCACCAGGAATGATCCCTGAGCAACAGAGTCAGCAGTGAGCCCTGAGCACCTCCAGGTGTGGCCCAAACAACAAACTAAGCAGGCTGGGAGAGGGATGGGTCAGCACCCTGCTTTGCCAGGGGGAGGCTGGGGTCTGATCCCCATTTGTGCATGATCCTAGAGCACCCCCGGGAGCAAACCTCCTCCCCAGCACTGAGCCAGAACCAGCCTCTTACATTGGGGGTCACTCTAAAAAGCCAAACTTAACACCCCAAATGTTGGGTCGACACAACTGGCCCCTAGCCCCAGACTAACTTTCCTTAGGTTTGGGGTCACATCCAAGCAGTGCTCTGGGCATACTCCTGGTTTTATGCTTAGGGGGGGTCACACTCCTGGCACTGCTCCCCAGGGCAGGTGCTGAGGACAGAAATGGGTGGACCATCTGCAAGGCCGCTGGCTTTGAAGGGCAGTGTGAGTGCCTCAAAGCCAGGGGTCAGGTGGAGCGATAGTACAGGGGGTAGGGCGTTTGCCTTCCACGCAGCTGACTGGGGTTCGATCCCCAGCATCCTATATGGTGCCCCAAGTACCGCCAGGAGTAATTCCTGAGTGCAGAGTCAGGAGTAACCCCTGAGCATCACCAGGTGTGACCCAAAAAGAAAAAAAGAAAACAAAACAAAGCCAGGGTCAGCCAGCAAATCTCGGGAACCCAGCCATGGTATCAACGTTGGGAGCTGCACCCCCCCCCAAAGCCCACCAATGTAAGAAATAAACTCAAGAGGGTGACTCTGCATGTGGGCACACCCCAGTCCCCCACGGACCCCCAGAATCATTTTGGGGGGCAGGAAGGCTGGGGCAGCATCAGCACGCCCTCACCCCCAAATGACCCAGCCCCGTTTCCAGGGCTCAGACAGGACGTGGGTGCAGAGGCGGGGGCCGAAGCGAGAGGGAGGGGACAGAGGGGGAGACAAGGGCAGTCTCCGGAGAGTGGGATCGTGGGACCCCCGGAGCCAGAGACGCAAAATACTCCTCAGTTGATTCCGTCCATTCTGGAGGGGGTGGGGGGGCGACCGGGGAAGGGGGTGTTGGAAGTGGCCCGAGGGTTCGGGGGAGGGGGTCCCCGACGGGGACGGGGGGGGGGGAGACCGAGGGTCCTGGGGTCCACTCTGGACGGGGGCAGCCGGGGAGGCTGAGGGTCCCGGGGTCCCTCCGGACGGGAGCAACCGGGTCGGGGCAGGCCGAGGGTCCCAGGGTCCCCCCGGGCGGGCGGGGCCGGGTCGGGTCGGGGAATCCGAGGGTCCCGGGGATCCCTCCGGGGGTCGCGGCCGGGTCGGGGAGGCCGGGGGTCCCTCCGGGTGGGGGAGGCCAGGTCGGGGCGGGAGGAGAGGCCGAGGGTCCCGGGGTCCTCCCGGGCGGGCGCGGCCGGGTCGGGGAATCCGAGGGTCCCGGGGCGCCTCCGGGGGTCGCGGCCGGGTCGCGGCGGCCGGGGGTCCCTGCGGCTCACCAGCAGTCGCGGTTCGGGCACTTGCCCAGCATGTGGCGGCGGCAGAGGTGCAGCTGGTCGCAGGCGGCGCAGTCGCCGCGCTGGTAGCGGGCGCAGAGGCGCGCCGAGGACACGGCCAGCACCCGGACGTCGCGGGGCCCCGCGCCCGCGCCCGCCGCCGCCGCCGCCGCCGCCACCTCGGCCTGCGCGTCCCACGGCCCGGGCCGGCGCGCCACGTCGTGCAGCAGGAAGCGCTCGGGGCCCGCGCGCCGCAGCACCGCGCGCAGACGCGCCTCGGGCAGCTCCACGTGCCCGCGCAGCTCGGCCAGCAGCAGCCGCCCGCCGTGCGCGCACAGCACCTTGGTCAGGAACGCGCGCACCGTGGCCTCGGCCGGCTCCCCCGCCGCCATCCCGCCCGCCGCGCGCCACGCCCCGCGCAGCCCCCGCCCCCGCCCCACGCACGCCGGCGTCCCGGGGGCGGGCCGCGGGGGCCGCGGGGCGCGGACGCGCGGACGCACAAAGACACACAGGCACACAGATGCGGAGCCGCGCACAGGCACGGATACAGAGACACATAGACACACAGAGACACACAGGCACGCACACAGGCATATACATACAGACACACAAAGACACACAGATACAGAGACACACAGGCACACACACAGGCATATGCATACCGACACACAAAGACACACAGATACAAAGACACACAGATACAGAGATGCACACAGATACAGAGACACACACAGAGACACATACACAGAGATACACAGGCATACACAGGCATATACATACAGACACACAAAGACACACAGACACACAGATACAGAGATGCACACAGATACACAGATACAGAGACACACACAGAGACACACACACAGAGACACACAGGCACACACAGGCATATACATACAGACACACAAAGACACAGACACAGACACACACATACAGAGACACACACAGACAAACAGAGACGCACACACAGACAACAGACACACACAGACACAGACATACACAGAGATACACAGATACAAAGACACACACACAGACAAACACAGATACAAAGGCACAGACAAACACAGAGACACACAGGCACACACAGGCATATACATACAGACACACAAGGACACACAGACACAGACACACAGAGATACAAAGACACACACAGACACACACATACAGAGGCAGAGACGCACACACAGACACACAGATACAAAGACACACACAGCCAAACACAGATACAAAGACACAGACACACACAGACACACAGGCATATACATACAGACACAGACGGAACCACAGACACAGACATACACAGACACACACAGATATACACAGACACACACTGACACACAGTCACACAAACACAGAGACACAGGCACACAAACACAGACACATACAGACACATACACAGACACATATATACACACAGGAGGGCCAATGGGGGGGACCTCACCCAGACGTAGGCCACACACACCGTGGGGCGGGAGGGGAAACAGGATTTCACACCCCAACACAGGCCTATGCAGGGAGCCTTGGAGATCTGCAGGGCACATCCTACATACACACGCACACATGCACACACACACATATGGGGGGAAGTGGGGAGACCCCACCCTGACACAGGCCGGCACAGGGGGTCTCGGACACCTGCAGGGCACATCCTACACACACAAACACACACCAACCACACACACACACAATCCCACACAGGCATGCAGAAGGGGACCTCTCAGGCCTGCTGGACACACCCTGGACCCGAGTCAGGCAGACGGAGGGCTGCATAGTCCCCCCCTCCCCCCATACCGGCAGGCAAGCAGTGAAGGAGGACCCAGGGTGTGCAGGCAGTCCCGACCTTGGCTCAGGCACCGGAAGTTCTTATTGAGCTCCTGCTGTCTACCAGGCACCCGACAGCTTGTTGGTGGAGCCGCACCCGGTGCTGTTCGGGCGTCACTCCCAGTGGTGCTCAGTGCTAGATCCTTCAAAGCACCAGCCCAGTGAGCATCTTCCCTGGGTCCTCTGATGGCGATTTTTATTGTGTTGGCTGCGCAGGGAATAATTCAAGATGCTAGAAAGGAGCTGGGGTGAAGCTCAGTGTTATGGGGCACTCGCCTGCCAGATATGTGAGGCCCTAGGCCTAAGTCCTGCACTACGCACACACACACACACAGACACACACACACTCACACACACACACACACACACAGAGTCAAAAGACAGTTGTAGGGGCTTTGTGGAGATAGTATAATGGTTAATAAGTCTTACATGTGGCTGACCCTGGTTTGATCCCGGACACTGAATATGATCCCCAGAGCCCCACCAGGAGTGATCCCTGAGTGTGGAGCCAGAAGTGAGCTCTGAGCACCATAGGGTGGTGACACTCCTCCTCCTCCACCACCACCAAAAAAAAAAAAAAAAAAAGAGAGAACAAACTAAGAATGGGTGACCTGGGGTGAGGCTCAGATGTCAAAGCACCAGCCTGGTTAGGAAAGATGAAGTTATGAAATTTGCTTATAAGTGGATGGACATGGAGAGTATCATGCTCAGTGAAATGAGTCAGAAAGAGAGGGACAGACATAGAAGGGCTGCACTCATTTGTGGAATATAAAATAACAAAATGAGACTGACACCCGGATACAGTAGAGACGGGGCCAGGAAAATTGCTCCATGGTTGGCAACCTGCCTTATGAGCTGGGGGAGAAGGCAGCTGGGATAGAGAAGGGATCACTAAGTCAATGATGGTTGGAGGGATCGTTCGGGATGGGAGATGTGTGCTGAAAGCAGATAAAGGACATAATAACATGATAACCTTTCAGTGTGTGTATTGCAAACCATAATACCCAAAAGGAGAGAGAGAGTATGGGGGAAATTGTCTGCCATGGAGGCAGGGAGAGGGTTGGGATGGGGGCGGAGGATACTGGGGACATTGGTGGTGGAGAATGTGCATTGGTGGAGGGATGGGTGTTCGATCATTGTATGACTGAAACTCAAACATGAAAGCTTCGTAACTATCTCACAGTGATTCAATTGAAAAAAATAAAAAAAGTACCAGCCTTGTAAACGTGAGGCCAGGGTTTGAGCCCCCGTGCCGCCCTCACGTGCTGAGCCTGGCTGAGATGGCCCTGTTGTTGGGAGACCACCAGTGTGCCACCTGAACCCTACTCAACAGCAGCAGTGGCCAAGAGGGGGCTGGAAGAGTAAGGTGGGCTTGACATGGGAGGCCGTTCTGCTGAGAGGGTGCAGAGCTGTGTGGATAACATGTGGGTTCTGGGGGCCCATGGCTTTGATCAAAGACCCCACAGGAAACCATTTTCCAAAAATGGCCCAGAAACAGCCCCAGGAAACTCCAGTACCTAAGACTTTGGGATTTCAGGGTTTGGGAATTTTGTTTTTGTTTGGGGGCCACTCCCAGCGGTGCTCAGGGCTTACTCCGGGCTCTGCACTCAGGACTCACCCCTGGTGGGGCTCACATGGGATGCCGGGGATTGAACCCAGGTTGGCTGCGTGCAAGGCTAATGCTGTCCTCACTGTACCATAACCCTGGCCCTGACTTTTGGATCTCCTCAGGGACATCCCTGGGGACCCTGAGCTTCGGCCGGGAGGGTCTGAGGAAGATGCAGCCTCGGTGAAGGCTGAGGCAGAGAGCACATGCTGAGTATACTGGGCGGGGAGGGGGGCCTTCGTACAGCCCGAGGCCACGGCGGCAGTCCCCAGGGCAGCGACCATGAACTCAGCTGTCCCCGAGCTTGGGAGTGGGGCTCAGATGTGCCTGGCTCTGGCGCTGCAGGCCCCAACGCGGCTCAAACCCAAGCCCAGGCGTGGCTCAATGTCCCGAGGGTGCCTGGGACCCCAACAGAGACCTCTGATCGGAGACCCCCCACGTGCAGTGAGGACAGGACTGAGGCTGGTATCAGCCTGTGACATTTGTCTGAGTAAATGCTAGGGAGTTTCCTGGAATCACAGGCAGCCAGTCCAAAAAAAAAAAAAAAAAAGGTGGGTGCTGGACTCCCTCACCGATGTGAACTTTCTTTTTTTTTTTTTTTATTTTTTATTTTTCTTTTTTTATTTTTATTTTTTTTATTTTTTATTTTTCGACTAGAGCTGTTACTGATTGGATTCCACGGGATGTCAAGAGACCGCGTGGCCGCCCACCTACCAGATGGTCAGACTTCTTCCTGAAGATCATGAAGGATCGGTTTGAGGCCCTTCATGTTCCCGGAGCGAACAGATGCCATTGGGCTACACTAGCACGCGACAGGGACAAATGGAGACGTTACTGGCGCCCGCTCGAGCAAATCGACGACTAACGGGAAGTTAAGTGATTAAGTGATTAAGTGATTTTTCTTTGCTTTTTGGGTCATACCCGGTGATGCACAGGGGTTACTCCTGGTTCTGCACTCAGGAATTACTTCTGGCGGTGCTCCGGGGGACCCTATGGGATGCTGGGAATCGAACCCGGGTTGGCCGCATGCAAGGCAAACGCCCTACCCGCTGTGCTATTGCTCCAGCCCCTGATGTGAACTTTTATTACTTCACCCCCCAGCAGAGGTCAGAGCTGGACACGTGGTAGGTAGCATTTGAGCTTGTTCAGGCAGTGGTGTAGATAGGGAAGCAGACCCCACAAGATGCCAGGGGAGCAGGGACACTTTTGGGAGATGAGGGGCTTGCGGGAGAAGGCAGGCGGGCTCACGGGGCCTGCTAGAGGAGTTGCCCACGTTTGAGATGTGTGTGTGTGTTGGTGTACGTGTGTGGTGGGGGAGTCCTGGTTCTGCAGTTCCTCCCCTCCAACCCAGACTTGGAAGTTCCTTCACAATGGAGGGCTGGGTACGTTTCTCCGACTGGGACACGCCACTGCCAAGAGACATACATAAAGTGGAGAGGGGGGCTGGAGCAATAGCACAACGGGTAGGGCATTTGCCTTGCATGCGGCCAACCCGGGTTCGATTCCCAGCATCCCTTATTGTCCCCTGAGCACCGCCAGGGATAATTCCTGAATGCATGCAGAGCCAGGAATAACCCCTGTGCATCGCCAGGTGTGACCCAAAGAAGCAGAAAAAAAAAAACAAAAAAAAATATAAAGTGGGGAGGGCCTCAGTGACATCTGTCATGTCCTTACACAGTGCCCCGTGTGCCTAGCCACACCGCCGCCGTTCTGCTTTATGGACGCAAAGGGTGGCCTTTGAAAGGTTTGCCCGCTCACTTTGCTTCCACCAAGTGCGGAACTGTGTCTACCACAGAAATCAAGATTCCAAAGGTTTTCCCTGTGCTTCTCCATGGGGACACTTTTTATTTGTCTGTCTTGGGGCCACAATCAGTGATGCTGAGGGCCTCCTCCTGGCTCTGCACTCCGGAATCACTCTTGGCAGTGCTCAGGGAACCATATGGGGTGCCAACGATCCAGTCCGGGTGGGTCTTACTCAAGGCAAACGCCCTGCCTGCTGTATTATAGCTACTGTGGGCACCCGGCCAGCCATGATTGGCTCTCATTGATGGCTGTACCATCGCTCATTTACAGCAATGCCACATCAAATTGCAGTTCTGCACTCACTTGAAGCAAACTGAATGCCTCTGAGGATTTTGTTTTTTTCTTCAGTAACCTCAGAAAATAAGGTGTTCGTAGCCTCCAGCCTCTCCCTCTCCACGTCCTTAAACATAAGATGTGCCTTCCAAGGCTGGAGAGACAGTACAGGGGTTAAGGCACTTGCCTTGCATGCAGTTAAACCTGTTCGAACCCAGAAACCACATATGGTCCTTTATACCAGGAGTGACTCCTGAGCACAGAGCCAGAAAAAAGCCCCAAGTACAGCCAGAAGTAGCCCAACCCTTCTGCTTTCTACTCCTATCAACCCCTAAAAAAGATGTGACCATCAGCCGTGGGCTTCTCAATCCCCAGAAGTCAGTGCTCCTTGTTACCAGACCTAGAAGAATAAAGCTGGAAGTGGCAAAAAAAAAAAAAAACCCAAAAACAAACAAACAAACAAACAAAAAACAACACTTTATTTCCCACTGACTATATTGGGAATCTGTCCTGAAGACCTTTAGGAGAGACGCAGAAATAGTCTTTGTTTTGGAACATACCTGGAGATGCTCAGTGGTAACTCCTGGCTCTACACTCAGGAATAACTCCTGGTGGAGCTTGGGGGACCATCTGGGATGCCGGGGATTGAACCCAAATCAGTCGCGTGCAAGGCCAGCTCCCTACCCACTGTACTATCAATCTGGCCCAAGACATATAAATTAGAAAAATAAAGAGAGCAGAAACAAAAAATTGGATTTCTTTCTTTTTATTAGTCTCAAGTAGGCATGAAGAACAAGAAGGCATAATGCTCAACAGCTCAAGTAGAAATCACTCAGCACAATTTAGTCAACAAGCAACAACAGGGACAGTGTAAGAAGCAGCACCCAGTTAGGATACTGGGGCTGCAGGCTTGGGGCCGGGCAACGCTGCCCACAAAGGGTTCACATTCTAAGGCAGAAAACAAGCAACTTACAACGGACAGAGCCCGAGAATAAAGCCAGGGGCAGTTATCCTAAGCCGCGCGACAAGTCCTCATGGAGGCGACACACACACGGACCTCAGGGTGTCTGAAGAATCTGAAGCTACGGTTCTCACTGCCCAGCCCGGGGAATGACAGGCATCTGGGCTTCCTCCCCACTGGCATGAGGGGGTGAGTCCCGCCAGGGGTGGCAGTGGTCATGCGCCGCAGGGTGGGCCCCACCGTGTGGAGTCGCTGTCTCTATACGACCTTCTAACATCTCGGGGACATGCGTATAGGGCTTAGGGCTTATCTGAGACCCTTATCACTCTTTCCTCTTAAACAATCTGGAAAAGCTCCGGACCCTTATCGCCGATGGAGGGCATCTCGCTCTCTGTCTCATGCCAGGCAGAGGCGTGCGGTCTGTCCCGACCCCTTCTGGGACCGGTTCTCAATCTAAGGCCATCCAGGCCTCTTTCCTTTTCCTATTCTCTCGAGAGGACGTAGCCTCTGACCGACTCTTATACCCAAACTTACTATAAGTCGAAGAAGGATCTCTATTCCATGTAGCTATATGGCATCGTCATGCCTAAGCATTTATAGAACAAAAAAAAATTTTTTTTAATAATGTAGGTGCAATGCTATTTATTCAGCCATTGGTTAAGCTGATTGATGAAAATTTTTTTCTTAAACAAAAAAAAAACCTGATAAACAGCAGGGAGAGGAGTGGACCGTCTCGGGCACGTGGGTGTTGGTGAAAGGATGGTCACTTTGGACATCAAATTCATAAATGGAAACGCTTTGGGGAAGCAACTGACCTAAACAAAAGATTTCCTTCTCACTACCAATTTTCTCTCCTCTCCTGATAATTTTAAAATTGGGCATTCTTAGGATACTGGGAACATTGGTGGGGGAGAATGGGCACTGGCAGAGGGATAGGTACTCGAACATTATTTGACTGAAACGCAATCATGAAAGTGTGTAAGACTGTAACTGTATCTCATGCTGATTCGTTAAAATAAAAATTTCTTAAAAAATAAAAAGATTGGGCATTTCGTTGATTTTTTTTTTTAAGTTTACATCTCAGAGCTTACATTTGACTGCGTCATCTGTAAGCTATCTCAGGATCAAGGCGAAGTTACAATATCTGCTCCGAAAAAGAGCTCTGGGACCTGGTGGGATGGGGGGGTGCTTTCATGGGTCGGGGTAGGGAAGAGCGCTAATGGAACATAGGGTGTGAGAGCCGAGAATGTGGCAACATCCTGTGATGCACTCGCCAGCTCCTGATCAAAGGATGTGCGCTGCGCTCTACGTATACGAACTTCGAATGTCTCGCTGGACATTCGTGTACGACTTATCATTCGTCTGTAAAAATAAAAGAGCTTCTACTTCACGGACCTGCCGATCTTGTGAGGTCTGATTCTTTCAACTAAGGATGTTCCTTCTTGCTCTTATCGAAATGAGTGCTGTCGCCTGCAAGTAAGTTACTGCTTCACGTGTTTATTTACTATTCACTCATATCCTTGCTTTTTTTTTTCCACTTTCCTCTATCTCTTTTCACGCAATCGTTTCTGCTCTACCTTGTATTCAAAATTCACTCGAAGCAGGCGTAAAATATCTGGCAACTTAGGAGGCCTATTAGTGGGGCCGTGCCAAGTTAGCCAGCTTGTACAGTCCTTTTCATTTATCTGAATACTTCGAAATTCTGCAAATATCTATTTGATTATTATGAAAGCATATGTTATCATTTGGGTCTTATTTCTCAAATGGTGAGTAGATAGAATCTATTACCATCGAATTGCATTCTGAGTACAATAAAGCAGATGTTACACATTTGTCACTACCAAAAGGAAAAGGAGGGGCGGGAGCAGGTAGGGTGTTGGCCTTGTCCAAGGCCAACCCCCTATCAACCAACAGGGTTCAATCCCCTGACACCCCATATGGCCCACCAGGAGCAGTTCCTGAGTGCAGACTCAGGAGTAAGCCGTCAGGTGTGACCAAAAAAAAAAAAAAAAAAAAAAAAAAAGAAGAGAGAAAGGAGAAAAACCCACTGATCTAGGGGAAAAGGCTACATAAACAGGAAGGCCAGTGGCTTCTTTGTGGGAGTCACAGAAGAGGGTGGGGAGACAGTGAGAACACTACTACAAACTACCTACAGGTACAATTGCATTTTTTTTTTGTGTGTGTGTGTTTTTGTTGTTTTTTGTTGTTTTTTTTTTCTTTTTGTGTTATATCTACTAATGCACGGGGGTTACTTTTGGCAGTGCTCAGGGGACCCTATGGGATGCTGGGAATCAAACCCGGATCAGCCGCATGCAAGGCAAATGCCCTATCTGCTGTGTTATTGCTCCAGCCCCCCTAATCGCATTTGTGTTTTCAGAATTATTAAGAGAAAAGACAGACAATACCATCGTCGAGGCTGCTAGTTTTGTTCCTGCTTCTGGTTTGCAGCGGGGAGAGTCAACTCTGGGCACACTCCCGGCGAGGCTCAGCCCCCGGCCTTAAGTGCTGAGGGTGCTGAGGCAGGGGGCAAGGCAGGGAGATGCCAGGGTTACACCTGGGGATGCTTTGGGATTGGGGACCACGAGGAGCGGGATCAAACTCAGGACCTTGAGCATGCAAGGGCTGCACCCGGGCCCTGAGCTATCTCCTCAGTCCTTTCTTGCTAAATTTTAAACAACTTCGAGGGGGGACAAAGACATGAAAGAGATACTACTGGACTTGGGGACTGGACTGGTATCAGGGGGACAGGCGGGAAGCAGGAAGACAGAGCTGTCTGAGGGGCTGGAGACCCCAGTTCACTGCAGAGACAGAGCAGCTGCACACGTCAGAGAGAGACTGTGAAACACCAGACTGAGGTGTCCAGCAGGGAAAGCCATGGGTGGAAAGGCAATGTCTGCTCCGGGAGACTTGTGATCAGGACATTTGAAAACCCCAAAAGGGAAGTCGGGGCAAAGGGGAAATCGCCGAGAATAAGTATTTGAAAGAAGCATCGTGGAATACACCCCTTTCTGCACGTGTCCCCGGCGGGACCTTTCGGGTCGAGCAGCTGAGCTCACCTGCTCTAAAGTCGGACAAACGGGCTCCAAGGGGTCCACCGGGAGGGCTGAGCTCAGGAAACCTGGGGAACGGGTATGGAATGCTGACTAAGGAAAACTGGAGGGAAACACCTGATTCGAGCAGGGCAGGAACGCTTTGGCCCAGACCCCTCAACTCCTCCACAAGCGGAGGACGCGAGAAATTCGTCTAATTCGTTACGTGTGGCAGGGGTGAGGCCCGATGGAAATACCCGGAAGTTTGCTCTGTTCTGGTTCTGGGTCCAGCAGAGAAGAGGCCCGTCCTTCCCTGCAAAGACGCCACTCCTGATTCTCGGGAGCCACCGCATCCAGCCACACTCGCAGTTCACTATCTCGGGTTCACTAGCCAGACCTGGATGTCTGTTCAGTTATCCAGAAAGGTCAAACATGCAGAAAAATCTGGGAGCCACTGATGGCAAGCAAAGCCATGTAAAAGAGGAACTCTATCCGGGGGCGATTTGGCTGTAGGTGAGAAGGGAGAGAGCGGCCTTCCTAACTAACGACGCACGGTTTTTCTATTTCAGAATATTCAACCACATACTGTGGGTAAATCTGGTCTTTCTCGAAGATGGCAAAGATGGAGGGATTCTGTACGGAATCCACACAGCTGTCATACCCCAACGCTGGTCTCTTGAGAAGCCGATTTCCTTCGATGTAATTTCCAACCAGGACACGGGAGACGATCATTACTCCGAACTTGGGGCTCATGCTCTCTTTATGAGAACGGAGGGCATCTTTTGTGAAGTAACTTCCTGAAAACAATCAGGGGGAAGGCAAAGGTGAAGAATTTAATATCAGGCAGGCCTGGAGCAATGGGACAGCGGGCAGGGCGCTTGCCTTGCATGCCGCTGACTCAGGTTGAATCCCCAACACACTACATGATTCTCTGAGCCCTGCCAGGAGTGATGCCTGAGCACAGAGCCAGGAGTAAGCCTGGATCATTACCAGGTGTGCTCTCCTGTCTACTAATAAATAAATTTTATTAGTAAATTTTTAATTATTAAATTAGTACATTTTAAATTATTAAATTTATTTATTTATTTTACAAAATAAATAAATCAAGAGTGAGAAAGATTTTCTACAGGTGTCAACCTGTACGAACTCAGTCCTCAGGGGACCCACACAGGCCAAGATGGGAGATGCTTCTTTGCTCCCCGTTAGTGGGCTCAGCCCCCAATGAGCAGGCAATGATAGTGGCTTTGTAGGGCTGGAGCTGAGTACCAGAGCCGCAGGCAGACACTAGGGGCCAGGGGCTGGAGCCATAGTACAGTGGGGAGGACGTTTGCCTTGCACGCAGCCAATCTAGGTTCAATTCCTGGCATCTCAAATGGTCCCCCAAGCACTGACAGGAGTGATTTTGGAGGAGCGCAGAGCCAGTAACCCCTGAGCATCGCCAGGTGTCACCCAAAAACACACCCCCCACAGAAAAAAAGAAAAGAAATGAAATGAGGGGCAAAGGAAGCACAGGAGTCCATAGGCAGGTCAGGTGGATGCAAACATTAGGAGACTGGTCCCTCCCAGGGAAGGAAACCAAGAGAGGAGAGGAGCAGGTGCAGGGCCCAGATAGTAGCGCTCTCTCTCTCTCTCTCTCTCTCTTTCTCTCTCTCTCTCTCTCTCTCTCTCGGACACCATCATGGCAAACACGCGACATCTCCGCAGACAGCGCAAGTTTGCGCATGCAGAAATCCGCAGCCTAACCCGCCCGCTAGGATGCTACTCACGGCTTCTCCCAGTACCAACCAATTCCGTATTTGTGTTCAGAAAATCCAGGAGAGGCACAGTCAAAATTATTCGCGTAGATAGATTCCAACTGGCTGGGCGGTGGAACACAAAATAAGATTTCTTCCAGACTCTTAGGGCTCTTCATTTTCTTCCTGAGAAAGCAAACATGTGAGTTCCCTCCCAAGCCAACCCCCTGGTCTCCTGGCTCCTCCCAGGAACCCCAAGGAAAGCTCATGGTCCTGGGGTTTCATTCAAACAGCTGTCAGGGCGGGGCTACTACTGCTAACAGCAGCAACCACTAACCAGGGAGGGCAGTTAGGTCAGAGAAGGGACTACTATGACAGTGATAGTTGGAAATGACCACTCTGGACAAAACTGAGTGCTGAAAGGAGGCAGAGGGACGTGCATGGTACCCTTTCAGTAACATATGACAAACCACAGTGCCTAAAAGGAAAATGACAGAGAGAGAGAGAGACAGACAGACAGACAGAGAGGTGCCTGCTACAGAGGCAGGCTATAAGGGAAGGGCAGGGGACAGGAGGGAGGGAAACTGAGGACATTAGTGATAGGAGAAATATAATGAAAGGATGGATGTTAGACCATTGACTGAAACTCATTCATGAACAACTTTTTCACTGCATGTCTCACAGTGACTCAATTAAAAACTACATTTAAAAAAGAAAACCAGGGGGGCTGGAGCGATAGCACAGCAGGTAGGGCGTTTGCCTTTCACGCATCCAACATGGCCAACCCAGGTTCGATTCCCAGCATCCCATATGGTCCCCCGAGCACCGCCAGGAGTAATTCCTGAGTGCATGAGCCAGGAGTAACCCCTGAGCCTCACCAGGTGTGACCCAAAAAGAAAAAAAAAAAAACAAGGGCTGGAGCAATAGCACAGCGGATAGGGCGTTTGCCTTGCACGTGGCCGACCCGGGTTCGATTCTCAGCATCCCATATGGCCCCCCCAAGCACTGCCAGGAGTGATTTCTGAGTGCGAAGCCAGGAGTAACCCACGCACATCGGTGGGTGCGACCCAAAAAACAAAACAAAACAAAAAAAACAAAAACCAAATAAATAAACATGAGCCAACATACACTTAGCCAGAAATGACGGGCAGGTAAGCGAGAGGTTCAAGGGGCTGGAGAGGGGACAAAGCAGAGTGTCTGGCTTTACAGGTTGACAACCGGTACTGCAAGGTCCCCGTGTCTGTGTGTGTGTGTGTGTGTGTGTGTGTGTGTGTGTGGCGGGGGTGGGGGGTGGGGTCTGAGCTGAGAATCATCTCTGAGTACCACCAGGCATGGCCCCAAAGTGAGAGAAAGAAGAGGGACAGAGAAGTATGCACCCCAGAGCAGGAACTCAAGATGAAAGAAACTATGCACCCCAAAGAAATCGGAAGCTGAACTCTCCAAGGCTGATGCATCCTTGCAAACAGTATATGAAGAAGCCACACCGTGCAGCCACGAACCTGAAAAAAGCATTCCTAAGCTTTTCGTTACAGATCTTCTTGATCTTGTCAATCTTGAAATTTTTCATGGATGCTTTAAAACGCTCGTTTACTTGGGTATACTCCAGATCCTGACTCCTGAGCTCTAACAACTGAAGGGGGAAAACAGACAAACAAAATCAAACTCATTGGTAGCAGATGAGTGTGAAAGAGGGGGCCACAGCGGCAGGAAGGGGATGGGGGCCTGGGGCGGCATGCCATGAGGTCTCCCTGGCTGCGGGTGCTCTAGGCGGGCTCAGGGCTCTGACGGTCGGCTCCGGTAAAGAACCACAGGGCACGAAACCTGTCCAAGCTGATTTTAGGCTCATGAAGCAGCGTGAAGAGGGCAGAGGGAAGGCCCGCCCGGGACATCTGGTTTAGTCCCTCATTCGCATCTTCCTGGCTGACATCAGTGCAAGGGCAGAGGCATCGGGAGGACCCCAGGACCCCACGCCCAGAGGGGGGCAGTGGAAGAGGGACCCCCTTTGGAAACAACCCCTGGTGGGGGAGGGGAGGCGACAAGGGTCACTTTATTGGGAAAACTCCCTGACGCTTGGGGCTGGAGCGATAGTACAGCAGGTAGGGCATTTGCCTTGCACGCGGCTGACCCGGGTTCAATTCCCAGCATCCCATATGGTCCCCCAAGCACCGCCAGGAGTGATTCCTGAGTGCAGAGGCAGGAGTGACCCCTGTGCATCACCGGGTGTGACCCAAAAAGGAAAAAAAAATACCTCAGGCTCTGGTCCCATGCACAACTTCTCTGCAGAAGTACCCTGGAGGTAACCAGTGAGTCTGGGTGTGGCTGCCCCCCCAAGCACAGCACCATGGGAAGGGGTGTCCACTGCTCCCTGGGGCAATGGATGGTCACCAGCCTTTGCGGCTTGATCGCAAAGTCCCTAGAGGCCACACTCATCCGCCCATTCACTCACCCCCAGACACACACAACCTCATCCCCGGTGCTTCTCTTGCCACACCGGCCCCAAGGAAGGGTAAAATTTGAGTACCTGATACCCGCTCGAGCATGGGCTGTCCGTCTGGGAAAGAAGACTCGGGACCAAAGGTTTGTTCATGACCTCCAAATGGCTGTACACAGAGGAAGAAATTCCTGTCACACCCCATGCCAAGTTTCCTCCTGATCCCCCTTGCACTGACCGACACGTCTAGGAGTGCTTTCTCTGCACACACCCTTAGAGTCTGCCCGTGTTTTCCTGATGTCTTTGGTGGCCACGAGCCACTTCCCCAACCCTGGCCAGCCACCGCCACCAACGGACGCATGAGGGAGGGAACAGGCAGCCAGGCTGGTTGGTGACCAGTCGCTGTTTATTCCATTCTCCCCACATACCTATTCCAGGCTCACTGCGTGCCCCATTCCAGTTCCCTCAGGCCCCTCATTCCCATCTCCAACAGTCCGTCATGGTAGCTTCCCCCTGCCCAGTCTCGCAGCCTTAGTCCTCGACCTCATGCCCTCAAGTTCAGGGTAGCAAATACCCCCAGGTGAGAGAGCACAGCCAATATATGTAAAGCCCTTCCTTTTCTAAAGCACAGTAGCTCTGTCCTCCTGTTGTTCATCGATTTGCTCGAGCGAGCACCGATAACGTCTCCATTGTGTGACTTGTTCTTACCGTTTTTGGCAATTCGAATACGTCACGGGGAGCTTGCGAGGCTCTTCCGTGCGGGCGGGATACTCTCGGTAGCTTGCCGGGCTCTCCGAGAGGGACGGAGGAATCGAACATCGAACCCGGGTCAGCCGCATGCAAGGCAAACGCCTCTTTTTTTTTTTTTTAATTGAATCACTGTGAGATACAGTTACAAAGCTTTCATGATTTTCAGCTCCGTGGCTCACGTGGGCTTCCTACCCCCCAACCCCCGAGGTTTCTTGGTGCAGTCTCGGATCACACCCTTCAGCGCATGCAGTGCCGCTGCATCACAGTCGTCATGCAAAATATTTTAGGAGCTTGGGGAAGCTGCTCGTGTGGCAGAGAGGAGAGGGGCAAGGGATGGAGGCTGAGGGAGACAGGTCTAGAAGTAACTCTACTTCCTACCAGGCAGAATGGGAGAACTTACACACTGCTACGAGGGGGGCAGCTGGAGGAGAGTGTGGGAAGGAGTAAGGAGGGAAAACGGCACTGCACTAAGCTGGGAAGGGGCCCCCATCCTGGGTGTCTGCAAGGAAGGTGCTAGAGAGGGGGAAGAGCAAACGAGAGGCGGAGAGAGGCCGGGTTCCCACGCAGGCTTACTCTAGCTCACACTTTAACCGCTCCATCTCCGAGGCAGGCATGAAGGCCGGTCTTCGGAGCACTTTCTTCTGGGTTTTGGAGGTGACGTTGGTCTGAATCATTGCTGTTGACAGAGAGCAGAAAGCAAGAATCAAGGACCTGCATGAGCCAATGATTTCTGGTTGGGTTCCAGAGGCTGGTCACAGGGCCAACACTCGCAGGCAAGCTGTACAGGTTGGAAGAGAGAGAGAAAATCCTTCTGGATGGAAACTTCGTGATAAGCATCCATCTCCTTCACGGCCTCCACTCGAAGGAAGGAGAGAGGCCAATGGGCGTTTGGCAATTCACTTATGTTCGATGGTAAAGAGGAAACACAGGGGCTGGAGAGATAGCACAGCGGGTAGGGCGTTTGCCTTGCACCTGGCCGACCCGGGTTCGACTCCCAGCATCCCATATGGTCCCCTGAGCACCGCCAGGAGTAACTCCTGAGTGCAGAGCCAGGAGTAACCCCTGTGCATTGTCGGGTGTGACCCAAAAAGCAAAAAGAAAAAAGAGGAAACACAGATATGGAGGCGGCACAGTGAGGCTGCCTAAACATCACGACCTTGTGCGGAAATGGACCTGCCTCAGATGAACCAATTCGCTCTCCATCTAGCATGGAGCCATCACTAACTCAGCAACGCTGCAGATCCAGGACTATGCTAAGGCTTAAGTCATACTTTTTTTCCTTTTTTTTTTAGATTTTACAGCCACACCCAGCAATGGTCAGAGGTTACTCCTGGCTCTGCACTCCTGGCAGTGCTCAGGGGACCATATAAGATGCCAGGGGTCAAACCTGGGTTGCAAAGCATGTAAGGCTAATGCCCTACACACTGTACTATCTATCACTCTGGTGGGCTTTTTTGTCTTCGGGGCCACACCCGGCAGTGCTCAGGGCTTACTCCTAGCTCTTTGCTCAGGGATCACTCCTGGTGGGCTCAAGGGACCATTCGGGGTACCAGGGTTCATACCGGAAAGTTGACCATGAGCAAGGCAAGAAAGCCCTACCGGCTGTATTCTGTCATTACAGCCCTTCGCGGCTTCTTTAACAAGCAAATCACAGGAGCCAGGGGATGGCTCAGAGGCAAAAAGCACCCACCTTGCACGACTGAGTTTGAGCACAGCATCAGCAGCTTAAGTCCCGGGGAGGGGGGGTGGAGTGTCCCAGGGGTGCTGGTAGGGGACAAGAACCTTCAAAGGTGAGGCCAGTCCTGCCTGATTCCAAGCTAAAAGGTTCTCCAGAAGCAAACCAGCAGGCCCGGGCAGAGAGTTAAGGCTCGTCTCCAAGCCCAAGAGGACACTTCGGAGGAAGGGCAGAGGCGATCCATGGTCTGCACTGTGGGACCTGGAAATCCCTCCACTTCCTGGCCAGGGGACCCCCACGGCCCCGGGAAACTCAGCCTGGCTGAGTGGGCAATAAGCTCTTGGGCTTCACGGTCCAACGCCCCCATTCTCGGGGTTGTGAGAGGCTCTTGCCATCCCCGGTTGCTGCCTCCCGCTTGGTTTGCCTCACCATCAAGGACCCTGACACCGGCATCCCTGCCCGGAGCAAGACACGTACCTCAAGAGACCACAGTGATAGTACAGCGGGTAGGGCATTTGCCTTGCGTGAGGTTAGCTCCGGTTCGATCCCCGGCACCCTCAGGAGTAATTCCTGAGTGCAGAGTCAGAACTAACCCTGAGCATCACTGGGTATGACCGCCCCCCCGCTAAAAAAAAGAAGAGAGAGAGAGAGAGAGAGAGAGAGAGAGAGAGAGAGAGAGAGAGAGAAAGAAACATACCTCGGAAATTCAGCTCATAATTCCGCTTGCCCGCCTGAAAGGGCACCACGACAGCCCTCGAGGAGCTGCAGTAGATGGTCTCCAGGTAGGAGGAGTCGACGCTGGCCGTCTGCGGGTGCCGATGGTCCTCCTGCCAGGAAAAAGACATGGATGAGGCCTCCGGGACACGCTCTCCAGAAACCCTCTCCGGCCATGACCCAGCATTTGGCTTTCATGATGGGATTTAGAGGGCAATCCCGCCTGGCCATTTCCCCTCGCTTGCTCCGTTCTGGGGTGGTGGGTAGAGCTGTGTGTACTGCTGGGACGGACGCAGGGGCTGGGCAGCGCCCTGCAAAGACAGCCCTCTGCAATGTTCTTTTTATAGGTGGGGCACTGGCCTTGCAGGCAGCCGACCTGAGTTTGATCCCTGGCACCCCATATGGTGTCCCAAGCCCCATCAGAAGTCGCCACTAAGTGCCAGGAGGAAGCCCTGAGAACTGACAAGTGTAGTTAAAAAAAAAAAAAAGAAAGAAAAAGGACAGCACAGAGGGTAGGGTGTTTGCCTTGCAGACGGCCGAGCTGTGTTCGATTCCCAGCATCCCATATGGTCCCCCGAGCACTGCCAGGAGTAATTCCTGAGTGCATGAGCCAGGAGTAGCCCCTGCACATCACCGGGTATGACTCAAAAAGCAAAATAAATAAATAAATAAAGGAGGGCATAGGTCCTTGGGTTAAAGTGCTTGCCTTGCATGTGACAGACCCTGGTCCAACTCCTGATTCTGATCCCTAATTTTCAGCACCATATAGCATATGAAACCCCAGATCAAAAATCCCTGAGTACTGGGGCCTGGAGCAATAGCACAGCGGGTAGGGCGTTTGCCTTGCATGCGGCCAACCTGGGTTCAATTCCCAGCATCCCATATGGTCCCCCGAACACCGCCAGGAGTGATTCCTGAGTGCATGAACCAGGAGTAACTCCTGTGCATTGCCAAGTGTGACCCAAAAAGTAAAAAACAAAAGATCCCTGAGTACAGAGCCAGAGCCAGGAATAAGCTCTGAGCACCTCAGAATGTGGCCCAAAATAAGCAAAAAAAGAGAAAACATGGGTCCACAAGACAGCTTTTGCTCTCCAAGTCCAAACAGAAGCCACCTGGCCTTCTCCTCAGCCCAGAGGCCTCCAGATATCCCAGCTGGCATCAGAATAAAAGGGTGAGAAAGACCCCTTTCCCCCACCGCCATGTAAAACTAGGGCCTCTGATCAAGACACAGGGAAAGGTCTGAATCCGAGAGCATGTGGGTCAAGGGAACTGCTCTAGATCTGGGCGGGGTACAGACCCGGGCAGACTGGAAAGGTCCCGATATACACCCCCAACAGAACTTGGGAGACCACGAGAAGCTGGGGACCAAATCCCAGCCAAGCCTAAGCTCCAGTCCACCGAGCCACATCCTAAGACTCACACACAACGTTTTCATAAAAGTGGCATGTTTGGGGCCAGAGTGATAGTATGGTCAGGAGGGTGCTGATGACCTGGGTTTGACTCTGAAATCCACATAGGGTCCCCTGAGCTCCACCAGGAGGGACCCCAGAGTGTAGAGCCCCGAGTCACCCCTTGACACTGCTGGATTTGACCCACCCCCCCCCAAAAAAAAAAACAAAAGTAGAATGTGTAAGAGCTTCCAAGGAGTTACGTACCTTTCCATATTCGATCCATATCCCTTCTTCATCCCTCCAGTACCAAATCCACTTGGTGGTGAAAAGCAAGCCCGTGGCTTTGACCGATGAGCACGTGGAGATGCGTCGGATGGGGTCAGAATTACAAGTCATTTCTAGAAAATCGAACTTGAGATTCCTGATGGTACACCTAGGAGGCAAGATTTTATAGTCAGCAAAATGCTCCACTGATTTGTAGAACACGGTCTTTCCCAGAAAGTGCCAGATTAAACCCCAGAGCTTAAAAGGAGTTTCCTATTTTCTTTTTTCATGGCACCTCTTTTTTGTGGGCTGTACTCGCTGGGGCCCCTTGGAGGGGAGCAGGTTGAGTTTCCCTCCCCGCCCCGACCAGGGCTCCAGCAGACGAAGACCTCCAGAACCAGCCACCACCACGCTGAGACCACTATCCACACACACGAAGGTACTGGCAGAGGAACAAAGGCATGCGGGTCCCGGGGCTGAGATCTCCAAGCCTGCTCGGATCGGGGCTGAGCATCCTCCACCCAGATCCTCCAAATTTCAGTAGGCAGGGGTCACACCCACCAACTGGCCCCCTGGCGCCGTGTAATCCCATCAACGGCCAAGACTCAGAGACTATAAAACCCAGCTCCCGGAACACATCTTATTATCTCATTCCTCCTTTGGACAACTGGCAGGCTACCGAATGTAACCTGCCCACACAGCAGAGTCTGGCAAACTCCCCGTGGCGTACCCAATATGCCAAATACCAGTAACAATGATGGGTCTCATTCTCCTAACCCTGAAAGAGCCTTGAATATGGCACTTTTTAAAAAATCTCAGGGTTAGGATGAAGGAGGCATTACTGGGGCCTGCTCGAGGCAATCGACAAACAACAGGATGGTCGTGACTGTGATCGTGACCTCTTTCATTTTATTTATTTATTTGTTTAGGCCTTTTTGGGTCACACCTGGCGATGCTCAGGGGTTACTCCTGACTCTGAGCTCACGAATTACCCCTGGTGGTGCTCAGGGAATGACATGGGATGCTTGGGATCAAACCCGGGTCAGCCACATGCAAGGCAAATGCCCTACCCTACTGTACCCGCTCTGGCCCTTCTTCTTCTTCTTCATTTATTTATTTATTTATTTATTTATTTATTTGGGCTGCTTCCCATTTTATTTCTTTTTTTAAAAAAAAACATTATTGGTTTTATTTATTTATTTGCTTTTGTGGTCACACCCAGAAATGCACAGCAGTTACTCCTGGCTCATGTACTCAGGAATTACTCCTGACGGTGCTTTGGGGACGATATGGGATGCTGGGAATCGAACCCGGGTCAGCCACATGCAAGGCAAATAAATGCCCTGCCCACTGTGCTATCGCTCCAGCCCCCTATTTTCTTTATAAAGATCCAGATCTGACAATGTTTAAGAAAGAATTGATTATAACAAGCAATACAAAATAAACTAGCATCTGCCTGTGAGGCAGGCTGGAATAGTGGTGGGAAAACTCAAATTATGGTGGTGGGCAGGTGTGATGGTGGCGGGATTGGTGTTGAAATATTGACTGTAATCAATTATTGTGAACAACTTTATGAAAAATAAACTTAAAAAAAGGAAAGAATTGAGAATTCTAAAAAAGACAATGTCACTTGCCCCCTCCCCCTTATTTAATGCTGTCCCTTCTCAAAAACAATCTCAAAATAAAACTTGTGCTCACAAAGCAACTGAGTAGCTCAATATTAAAAAACAAGTTAAATGGGGCTGGAGAGATAGCACAGCGGGCAGGGCGTTTGCCTTGCACGCAGCCAACATGGCCAACACAGGTTCGATTCCCAGCATCCCATATGGTCCCCCGAACACCGCCAGGAGTGATTCTTGAGTGCATGAACCAGGAGTAACCCCTGAGCATCGCCGGGTGTGACCCAAAAAGCAAAAAAATAAAAAAATAAAAAAAAAAAATAAAAAACGAGTTAAAAACTCCCAAGAGGCGAGGAAGAGAAATAGTACAATGAGCAGAAGGCTTGCTCTGCAGGTAGCGGGCCCAGATTTAATCCCCAGCACCTTCTACGATTCCCTGAACTCCACCAGGAGTGATCCCCAAACGCAGAACCAGGAGTAAGCTCTGAACACCATTGGGTGTGGCCCCCAAACAAAACAATTTCACAATAAGGCCTGAGAAAGAGTACAGCAAAAAAGATGAGATGAGAAAGCAGGCCAACCAACAAACAAAATGCTCGCCCTGCATGCAGATGGACCACCTGGTCTTGATCCCCAGGATGCCTTATGGTCCCCAGAACACCACCAGGAATTACTTCTCATCACAGAGCTAGGAAGCATGCCCTAAGCACAGCCAGGTGTGGCTCAAAGGTCAAAAATACAAAAACAAAAACCTCACTATACATCTTTTTTTTTCTTCAGTTTTAGAGGCATGGCCCTCAATGCTTAGGGGTCCCAATGAAAGTGGAAGCCTCAGTTTCCCCCTTGCCAGTGAGAGAGGAAGCCGGTGTCTTCTCTCCAGATGTTCCATCTCTCCCCAATCAATCTAACTCACGTTCTACTCCCAACATCACCCCAACACTCCCAGGAACATCAAACTCTAATTCTAAACATTAAACCCTGGACTCCAGACTGACAGGGAAACTAAGATAACGGGCAATCCCAGAGTCTAGGCTGACGGGGAAACTGAGATCACTGGCATTGAGCTCTGGAAGGTTTGCTTCTTGCCAGTGAGGAAGGAAGCCACCTGCTTCCTCTTGCCACTGACCTGACACACTGACCTTTCCCACTCACCTGACACCTTTCATTCCCAAAGTCCTGCCCCAGTGGTCAGAGAGATTTTCAGGACCATACAACTCTGTCCTGGAGCCTAGATCCACAGGGAGACTAAGATAAGGGGCAAAAATGCCCAGAAAGATTTAGAACAGCTAGATCATAGCAATTTTCTGGCACCTTCTGGAAAAACTTGCCGACTGAAAAGGCATGCCAGGAGCCCTTAAAATGGTCTTCACACGGGGGTATGGTGCCACCAGCAGGTCAATCTGTACCTGTGAGGCGAGTGCATCAGCAGTCTGAAGGCGCCTTCAGACCTCCAGATACCCCAAAATTGCTGCTGTGCCTTTGGCCAGACCTGAGAAACTTGGGGCAGAGCTTACCAAGAAAGTAAACGGCCAAAAGGTAGGTATGTGGAAGACACACCCACAAACCACCTCCGGCTCAGTTATATAATTGGAGGCATGGCCTCTCTGGTTCCTGATTGAACTGCTTAATGGCTATGATCCCAGAGACTCAGAAACAAATCTCAAAACCCAGCGGCTTCTGGCAAAAATGCGTCCAGTCCCTGCAGTAGGTTACTGGTGCTGGGCCACCCCAGGTGGGAATAGGTTTCGTGCCTTGGCCTGTTCCCCCTGGCGGCCCAGTGGCCGCCATCCTCCAAAGGACACTGGACAGTCAGGTTTGGGCCCACAGTGACGAGACATTTTGGGCCTCACGGGATGGGGTAAAGCCGGTCCTGTCCTCCCCACCCCAACAAGACCCCAAGTCATTGCCCACGAATGGCCTCTCTGGCTCCTGATCAAGCTGCTTAATGGCCATGATCCCAGAGACTCAGAAACAAATCTCGAAACCCAGCAGCTTTTGGCAGAAATGTGTCCAGACCCTGCAGTAGGTTACTGTCGCTGGGCCACCCCAGGGGGGAAAGGGTGTTGTCCCTCCGCCTGCTTCCTCCTGGTGGCTCGGTGGCCATCATCCTCCGAGGCTATTGGACAGTCAGGTTTGGGCCCGCAGTGACGAGACATTTTGGGCCTCAAGGGATGGGGGTGAAGCCGGTCCTGTCCTCCCCACCCCAACAAGACCCCAAATCATCGCCCACAAATGGCCTTTCTGGCTCCTGATAAAGCTGCTTAACGGCCATGATCCCAGAGACTCAGGAGCACATCTCAGAACCCAGCAGGTTTTGGCAGAAATCCCTCCGGATTTAAGTGTTAAAATTTCTGAATTTCAAAGTCGCACGGCCACTACTGCAGCCATGCGACATCCTATGTTATTCATAACCAGCAATAGAAAACAAATTGACTACTGTTGCCTTTTCAGCAGATCTGAGTGTTAGAGTAAAATCTCAAATAATAATGGTGTTCTGGTGTCAAAATATTGAATGTGATCAAAATAGAGAGAGAGTAATGTGGAAATCATCTGCCCCACAGGTAGGGGAAGGGTGTGGGATGGGGGGATACTGGAGTTTTTGGTGGGGGAGAATGGGCACTGGTGAAGGTACGGGTGTTTCATTGTATGACCGAGACTTAGACCCAAAAGCTTTGTAGCTGCTCTCACGGTGATTCAATAAATAAAATTATAAAAAATGAAAAAAAAAAAGTAATTCAATCAGCTAATCAGTGGCTGAATAAATAGCAGTACTCCTACATAAAAAAAAAAATGGTCTTCACAAAACTCCCTTATTTGTCCTACACTAAGTTCCTCCCAACTTGAGGAGCTTCTTTTTACTCTTCTACTTTCCAATAAACTTTTCTACTTTCCAACTCTGAGTCTGAGCATCTTCATTATTCAATATTTACAAATATTGAGGAAGCTGGGAATCGCGAATGAACACAGAGACCCGCCAACCCTGCTTCTGTCTTGCGTGCATCAACTCCTGCCCTGAACTCAGGAATCACTTCTATTGGTGCTCAGGGGACCATCTGGATGTGGGGATAGAACCTGGGTTGGCTGCATGCAAGGAAAGCGCCCTACCCACTGCTTTGCTGCTCCAGCCCCAGTATGTCGTATTTCTCCCAATTAATTAAACTATTACTTAAATGGCTTATTTAATTATCATCTGAGCTTCTTTTTTATTCAGAATGCTTATTTTATAAATGTTTAAATTGTTGCTTTTTAATCACCGTGTGATACAGTTACAAAGCTTTCTTTCCTGTTTGAGTTTCAGTCATACAATGATCAATCACCCAACCCTCCACCAATGCTCATCTTCCACCACCAAGGTCCACAGTATCCCCCCATCCCACCCACACCCCCCACTTCTATGGCAGACAGTCTCCCCCATACTCTCTTTTGTATTGCTTGTTATGAAATGATGGAGATCTTACAAGCTACCAACTTACACGGATCTCTGGGGATCACAGTAGTACTTCTCTATGGTCTCTATGATCTCCAAGGGCTGCAGCAACACCCAGGTATTCTTGGTACGTATCTTCCACAGGTAGGGCAGATGGAAATGCACTTTCTGGCAGCTTTCTACAAAGACAGAGAAGAGTTGTGGGGAAGCGGGTTCCTGCGGGCGGGTTTTCTATTCTCTTATTTTTTTAAATTTATTTTTTGCTTTTTGGGTCACACCCAGCGATGCACAAAGGTTCCTCCTGGCTCTGCACTCAGGAATTACTCCTGACGGTACTTGGGGGACTGGTACTGCTGCGTGCGCCCCCACCCAAAATAAATAAATAAATAAAAGCAAATTCCCTGAACCACTTATAGTGTCCCAGCACTGCCAAGGTCGTTCTGAGCACTGTCAGATTCAGGCCCTGAGCACTGCTTGGTGTGGCCTCCAAAACCCAGGTCTTGTCCCCCTGAAAACAGCCAAAAGGAAAATCACACCAGGACACTCTGCTGAGAGACCCAGAGCTGTCCTGTTTGTGAACACAAACAATAAGAGTTCAGCTGCTGGGAGCCGAAAGAGGGGCTGGGAGAGTCGGTTCACAGTGAGTCATTTCCATTTTGAAAGACCGGAAATGTACTTTTAAAATGTTTAAAATGGCAAAAATCCACATGACACGCATTTTCTTGCAATAAAACAAAACAAAACAAAACCAAAAAAACAGGGGTCAGGGAGACAAATGTCCTACAGCAAATAGGGCGGTTACATTGTGTTGGATTTTAACCCCAAGTGCTTTGGGCTTCATCAGTGAATTGCCCTTTTCTTCCCCCCAGAGAAGCTTACAGTGCTCTATGAGCACTCCTAATCCCCAGTTTATCTTTTTTTTTTTTCCTTTTGGGTCACACCTGGTGATGCACAAGGGTTACTCCTGGCAGTGCTTAGGGTACCATATGGGATGCTGGGAATCGAACCCAGGTCGGCCGCATGCAAGGCAAACACCCTCCCCGCTGTGCTGTCGCTCCAGCCCCCCCCCCCCGCCCCAGTTTACCTTTAACCTTTCCTTTGTGCTTTACCTCTCCTGTTACCTACTAGTTTCCCCAAGTCGGGCTTGCTTTCTTATATAAAGCCAAACCTTCTGGTGACTAAGACTTTGTATCTGTAGTGAATTATTTGCTTTTTCCTTTCCCCTATAACCTTTTTGTATTTTACTATAGATCAGTGTTCTTTGCTTAAACACAGAAAGACCATTAATGCTGTGCCCCTAATATTTGACTCTGAAATATATCTACTCCTGGGCATCCATCGTAACACTTGACTCAGGCTTCAGTTGCCATAGCTCCTAACACCTCAAACAGCTGGGTCCCACCGAGGGATCTTTGGATGAGGGCAGGGCAAGCAGTAAAGCTACCCTGGCTTCGATCTGGGACAGTCTAGAAAGCATAACGCACGGTCATGATGCAAGCCGTAATGAATGACCTAAAAGATAGGACCCCATGGGGTAGGAAAAGATATCCCAGCCTGAGGACATCATCTGAGACTTAAGGTAATAGCCCAGCCAGCTTTGTACCTTTGCCCCTGGAGCCTAGAGAACTCAGTTTTGGAATCTATATTTCTTACTGTGTGTTTCCAAGTAACAGCCAATATTAATAAGAAGTGAACTTAATCATTTAATATGTACTCGAAGCAAGGGATGGAATGTCGCCTCTGGCGGATTTCTCAGAAAAGCTTCTAGACAGAGCGTCTCCTAGAGTCAATCCCGCCAGAATAATTACCTCTGTGAAACCTTTTCTTTTTTTCTTTTTGGGTCACACACGGCAATGCTCAGGGGTTACTCCTGGCTTTGCACTCAGGGATTACTCCTGGCAGTGCTTAAGGGTCCCTATGGGATGCTGGGAATCGAACCTGGGTCGGATGCGTGCATGGCAAACGCCCTACCCACTGTGCTATCACTCCAGCCCAACCTCTGCAAAACCTTTACCTCTATAAATGATCCATCACACCTATGTGGAGTTCTGGATCTTAACATCCCCCTCAGATTTTCTATAGTAATGCTGTTTAGTTCTGAATAAAGTGGCCACTGACCATCAGTCTGTGGTCCCCATCTCTTTGTCCCCCTGTGGGGGAGGCAGCTCTCAGCCCTCAGAAGCATTGTATCATGCGTTAGTGACCTCCCCCACCCCGACACACTTTCCTCACACACTGTGCACAGCCAATAGGAGGTTCAATCCCTGGCACCCCATATGGTCCCCTGAGCACTGCCAGAAATGATCCCTGAGCACAGAGCCAGGAGTAAACCCTGAGCACAGAGGGCATGTCCCTGCCCCACGACAAAGGATAACATCCGTCAAGGGATCAAATGACCCAGGCTGGCTGGGCAGCAGAGGGGCCAGCCCCAAACATGGACTTGGTTTTTGGTTTTGTTTTGGGGCCACACATGGCTGTGCTCGGGACTTCCTTGCTAGCAGTCCTGGGGGACCATATGGGATGCCAGAGATCAAACCCAGTCGGCCACGTGCAAGACAAGCGCCCTGCCCGCTGGACTATGGATCTGGCCATCCTTGAGATATCTTCGTGTGGGTGATCTGTCTCCCCTCACGCCTGCCTCCACCTGGTCCAGTGGGTTCCCGGAAGGGCCTCGGTGCTCGCCGCCTGTCACGGAAACTGGAAACTGGCTGAGGTACTCACGAGGAAGTGGACACCCCTGGGACAGGTAGCCAAGACAGATTTCATCCTTTTCACTATCGTGGCTGTGGTCCTCTGCCGGAACACCTACAGAACAGAAGAGAGGATCAGAAGCCTGGTTCAATGCCACCCCCGAATGTGGTCTCCTGGTGGGAAGCCAGAGGTATGTTAGGGAAAACGACCCTGCTCGGCTCCTGCAGCCGGGAGGGCAGGACAGGGCGCCCCGGCAGGAGGGTCACGTGAGAGCCAGGCTCAGCTCAATGCCTGACAGGAAGTCTCAATCTAGCAACAGCTAAATCCAGGGGCGGGCCCTCAGCTGCCTCGGTGTACCCCACAAGCATCCCCTTCCCCGACACCTCAGGGGGCGTCCCAGGGGGACACCGCTGGCCAGGCAGCTCTGGGCAAACCTGAGACACGTGACTACCTCTTCCCTCTGGGATGGAGCCAGGGGCCCCCTTGGCATTCACTAGTCAGAAGGACAGGGTCGTGGTGTGGGGTCCCTGAGCCACACTTGTGTGGCCTGAGAAAGGGTGACCGCAGGCACAGGATTAAAGGGTCCTGCACCTTCTGGGGCACAGACAGAGTGTCTATCCCGAGGCTCAGATTCCTGTCCCCTTAGTCATCTGTCCCCGCTCTGGCTGGGGGGCCTCAACCACAGTCCCCACGTCCGGGGCTTCACGAGCCCCGGTTATCTTATCTCTGGGGTTCCCGGCAGTAAATGGGTCTTACCTGCAGGTTCGGTGGTCCTGCCAGGGCCCCTGGGGTGGGAGGGAGCTGAGCTCCTGAGGTCCGGATTCCAGGATCTGACTTTATTGACAGCTGCATCTTGGCCGTGCAAAGGTCTTGCGGAAGGTCGACCTGGGGCCCGTGTGTCTGAGAGGAAGGACAGAGGCTCCTCTGGGACATCTCCGTTCTCCCAGATCTCTATTTCCGAGACGATACCATCCTTGATCTTCTGGGGGGATCTGGCGCCCGCCAGGTTGGGCAGAGGCGGCTTGTCCTGGACAGTTTCGTCTAACCACATCTCTATTTCCAAGGGGAGTCTGTCGCTGCTTTTCTGGGAGGCTCTGGAACCTGCAGACGCTTTTTCTTGCTCTCTGGTGGCTGTCGCTCTGTCCCGGGAAGATTTGGCGGAAGGTCGATCTGTGGCCCAGGAGGTGTCCCCCAGGAAGGACAGAGGCTGGCGCTGGGCACCTTCGTCTATTTCTGAGGGGGGTCTATCCTCGTCCTTCTGGAAGGTTTCGGGGCTCAGCATGGGCGCCGAAGGCACAGGCGGAAATGAACTCTCCCCGCTGGGAACCAGCACTTTGAGCCAGGATGGGGGGTCCTTCCACTGGGCCCAGGGGTCTGCATCAGAAGGGCCACGAGAGCTGGAATCTTTGGAGCTGCCCTTCTCCGGCAGCTGCTGGCTCCTTTCTGCCAGGCCTCCAACCCCCACACCCACACCAGCAACTCTGGATGAAACGGAGGCTGGGGTCGAGCCCTCGGGGCTCCCCAGGTGCTGAAACTTGGAGGCGAGATTCGACACCTCTTCCGGGGGGCCCTCCTGCAGCTCAGAGAGCAAGGCCGTGGACAGGAACTCGCGGCTCTGGAACGGCTGCTCTTGGCTCTGGCCCCTGCCTTTCGGGGGCCCCGCTCTGCGGTGGGCGGGAGCACCTGGGGAGGCAGAGCAGAGGGATGAGAGGAAGAAAGGAGATTCCTTTTCGGGGGCTGTTTTGGGGCCATGATGGCCATGCTCAGGGCTGACTCCTGGCAGGGTTCGGGACTATATGGGGTAGCCGGGGATTGAACCTGGGTTGGCAAGACAAGCACCTAACCCACTGCACTATTTTTTTTATATTTTTATAAAGTAGTTCATAATATTTGATCACATTTAATATTCGAGTTGGGTGTTTGCCTTGCACTCGGCCAACCCGGGTTCGATTCCTCTGCCCCCCTCAGAGAGCCTGGAAAGCTACCGAGAGTATCTAGCCCGCACGGCAAAGCCTGGCAAACTCCCCGTGATGTATTCAATATGCCAAACACAGTAACAAGTCTCACAATTTGTTGTGAGACGTTACTGGTGCCCATTCGAGCAAATCGATGAACAACGGGAGGACAGTGCTATAATATTCGAACACCAATTACACCTTCCCACCACCATATTTTGGATGTTCCCATCCCAAACCCGAACCCCCGCCCCAAAGCACAACAGAAAGAATTCATTTTGTATTGTTCGTTATGAATAAACCACTAGAAATGCTCCAAAAAAATTTTTTTAGAGGAGAGTATATGAAGATTGTTGTATTTCACTCAGGGACCATTAAGCCCTTCTATGAGATTACTAATGTTATTAAGGGTTAAGCCGTGTGTGTGTGTGTGTGTGTGTGTGTGTGTGTGTAAAAATATATTTCCCTACAAGATTGGCTGCCTTCTACTTTAAACCCCATCAAATGTGGTACGCTACTCTTGGAGCATGAGTGGTGTGAGGTATGAAATGTCCAGGAATAGCTTCACTCATGTGTAAGGCTCGGTCTGAGTGTGTGGAGAGCTGCTCTGAGCATGGTGGTAATTGAGTTTTGAAGGTTTCTGGCTGCCGGGGCTGGGTCCCTTAGGGCAGGGAGGGGCCTCACCTGTCCCCCTCTGGGGCGCCCTGAATGAAATAGCGTGGCACAGAGTCCAGTTGCATGGTTATGGCGAGTTGTGTAATGCTCTCTTCCGAGAGAGGACAATGAGTCTCTGGATCATGGCCTTTAATGAGATTATCTGGCACCAGCCAAAGGTGGCTTGTAGGTAAGACTGCCAGGTTGCCAGAAACAGGAGGACATGGGGGGAGGTCACCCATTCTCGGTTCTGTTGAACCTGGAGTTCTCATTACCCATTGTACTATTGCTCCAGCCCCAAGAAAGGAAGCTCTCACACTGGCGACCACGTGGAAAAAGTCCTAGGACTTGACAGAGGCTGCAGAAATAGCACAGGGAGTAAAGCACCTGCTTGGCAGCCCGGGCCCCTGAATATGGCCCCTCTGTCACTGCCAGGATGGAGCCCTAACAAAGAGCCAGGAGTGGGGCTAGAGCGATAGCACAGCGGGTAGGGCGTTTGCCTTGCATGCGGCCAATCCGGGTTCGATTCCCAGCATCCCATATAGTCTCCCGAGCACCGCCAGGAGTAATTCCTGAGTGCAGAGCCAGGAGTAACCCCTGTGCACTACCGGGTGTGACCCACAAAGAAAAAAAAAAAAGAGCCAGGAGTAAGCCCTGAGCACCCCTGGGTGTGGTCTGCAAACAAAACACCAAAGTTAGAGGAAATCGTAAAAAGTGAAATAAACCAGTTACAGGGACTGGGGCGACAGTGTGGGGGGGGGGGGGGCAGGACATTTGCCTTGCAAGTGGCTGACCCAGGTTCAATCCCTGGCCTCCCATCTGATCTCCTGAGCACCATCACAGGAGTGATTCCTGAGTGCAGAGCCAGGAGGAACCCCTCAGCATCGTGCTGTGTGTGCCTGTGATCCAAAAAGAAAAACAAACAAAAGTATCAAAAAGACAAATATTGTAGACTTCTTAAGAGGTACCTTAAGTGAGAGAATCCAAAACTAGAATGGTATGCATGGGGGCGTGTGTGGGAGCCACAGGAATAGTCATTTAAAGGGTGGAAGAGTCTCGTTTTTACTCAAAAAAAAAAAAAAAGCTGAAACAAGCTAGTAGGAAACAATGTACAGACTTGTGAGGTGGCCATGACTGACCACTGCACTCAGCAACACAGCATGAGCCTGGGAACACTGACCATCAGCTCAGGCGGTGGAGCTGGAGCGACAGTACAGCGGGTAGGACATTTGCCTTGCACGCGGCCAACCTGGGTTCGATTCCCAGCATCTCATATGGTCCCCTGAGCACCACCAGGAGTAATTCCTGAGTGCAGAGCCAGGAGTAACCCCTGAGCATTGCTGGGTGTGACCGAAAAAGCAGAAAAAAAAAACAGCTAAGGCGAGATTTCCTGTGAGGTCTGTTTTCAACCAGTCACCATTCAAAGAAATAGATTCAATCGCTCTAAACAATTGATGAAGCACTGTTGTTCCTTCTATATAGAGTTCAAGGACAACCAGGACCTCCCCTGGGGGCCCAGCCCTTGGGGAGCCAGGGATGGAGCACAGGGCCTGTCATACACGCCTGTTGCTGTTGCTGTACTGGCCTAAGAGCGGGTCCCCCTGCCACATCATTGTGTGTCTATTTTGTTTTTGGGTCATACCTGGCAATGCACAGGGGTTACTCCTGGCTCTGCACTCAGGAATTACCCCTGGTGGTGCTCAAGGGACCATGTGGGATGCTGGGAATCGAACCCGGGCCGGCCGCGTGCAAGGCAAATCACCCCTGACGGAATTCAGGGCCGCGCACATGAGAAGCACGCATTCAGCCAGAGTTATAGCCTCACCTAAGGATTTGTGGACTTTTTCTCCTTTTTTAATTAAAAAAAGTTTTTTAACTGTATAAATTTTGGGAGAGCCTGGCAAGCTACCCAGGGCATATTCGATATGCCAAAAACAGTAACAATAACAGGTCTCATTCCCCTGACCCTGAAAGAGCCTCCAATCGTTGGGAAAGACGAGTAAGGAGAGGCAGCTAGAATCTCAGGGCTGGGATGAATGGAGATGCTACTGGCGCCCACCCAAGTAAATCGATGAACAACGGGATGACAGTGATACAGTGATCACAAATCACAAATCACAAATCATCCTGTTATTCGTCGATTGCCTCGAGCAGGCCCCAGTAACGTCTCTTTCATCCTAGCCCTGAGATTATATTCAAGGCTCTTTAGGAGAATGAGATCCATCATTGTTACTGGTATTTGGCATATTGGGTACGACACAGGGAGTTTGCCAGACTCTGCTGGATACAGTGATACAGTGATTAATTAATTTAGGTTTGGGGGGGTCACACCCGGCATTGCTCAGGGGTTCCTCCTGGCTCTGCACTCAGGAATTCCTCCTGGCGCTGCTCGGGGGACCATATGGGATGCTGGGACTCGAACCTGGATTGGTTCTGTGCAAGGCAAGATATCAGCTGAACTATCACTGTGAGGGCGAAACTGACGCCATGACAGAAATCAGCAAAATCAGGTAGATCTCTGGTTCATTTCCTGGAACTGAAAGACTTAGTTTCTCAGCAATGAAACAATGTGTAATTCGCCAACCTGAACCCACCTGGGAAGTTCCTGGGCCCAATAAATGCTCAATCAATCATGATGCCTCAGCTATTATGCCCCAGAAAATATCTTTTGTTAACAGCAAAGAATCGGTAGCCTATGTAATCATAGAACCCTTATTGTCATTGGAAACTATTGTTTAACTGTTGCCTGATCACTGTTACCATAGTGCTTGCTTAACTTTTGAAACTTTGAAACCTATAAAAACCTCTTGTGATTAGGAGTCCGGGTCCTTGTGCTGTCTGGGTCCACTGTGTTGGATGAGACTTGGACCCTAGCTCGAGCTAGCAATAAAGTTCCTTTGCTTTGGCATTATCGTGTGTGGACTTAGTCTCCTTTTTTATTTTCCTTTTTATTTTTCTTTTAAAGGGGGCCCAGCATGATTGCATTGCAGGTAGGGTGTTTGCCTTGCACACAGCCGACCCAAGTTCAATCCCAGCATTACATATGGTGCTCTGAGTATCGCCAGAAGTGGCCAAATCAAAAAAAGGTTTTGATTTCTGGTCAAGGGACCAAAAAATAAAAACAGTTTTAAAAAGAAAGGAAATGATATGGAAAAGTAAACACTGTATGTCTCAGTACGTCCACAGATGGAGGGAGAAAGTGAGAAAACGGACCCAGCGTTTCTCAATCGCCAGCCAGAGGGTCCCCGTGAGGCGGCAGGATATTCCATAGGGGCCACACATGAAAACTGCATAAATTGGGATTCTAAAATGACTAGGAGGCTAGTTGACAGGACAAGTGGTGGGGATTGAGGAGACAAGAAGGAAGCAAGGTCGGAAACAGAGGACTGTCTGACTAAGGTTAAGAAACTCTATGATAGGGGGCTAGAGTAATAGCACAGCGGGGAGGGTGTTTGTCTTGCACGTGACCAACCCGGGTTCGATTCCCAGCATCCCATATGGTCTCCTGAGCAACGCCAGGGGTAATTCCTGAGTGCAGAGCCAGGAGACCCCTGTGCATCGTCAGGTGTGATCGCCACCCCCCAAAAAAACCCCAAAAAAACAAAAGAAAAAAGAAAAAAAAAAGAAATACTGTGATAGCAAGGCAGAAGGATGCTTGCCTTGCAAACGCCCAACCTGGGTTCAATTCCCAGCACCTTGGATGGTCCCCAGAGCACCATCAGGAGCAATTCCCGAGTAATTCCTGAGCACTGCTGGGTGTGGTTGAAAAACAAAAACAAGGGGGCTGGAGTAATAATACAGCAGGCAGGACATTTGCCTTGCACGCGGCCAACCCAGGTTCAAATCCCAGCGTCCCATATGGTCCCCTGAGCACCGCCAGGAGTAATTCCTGAGTGCAGAGCCACCAGGAGGACCTGAGCATCGCCGGGTGTGACCCCAAAAACAAAACAAAACAACAACAATAAAAAAAGCACTAAATCATGTTTATGCTACAATGAGGACTATGCAAAACCCATTTATATATATATATCTATGAACAAGGTGGGCAAGGGAAAATCGTTTGCTTTTTTGGGTTGTTGCTTTTTTTTTTTAACCACATCTTAAGATATTCAGGAGTTCCTCCTGGCTGTGCACTCAGGGATCATTCCTGGTGGGACTCTGGGGCCCAAACCCAGGTTGGCAGCATGAAAGGCAAGCACCCTCCCCACTGTACTATCACTCGGACCCAAACAAAGATTTTTCTGTGTTGGGGTAGAGGGATCACAGGGAACTCTTTTGCACGGTGGTAGGGATGGAACCCAGGGCTTTGGGCATACAGAGCACCCCCTGTGCCACAGCCCGACACCCTAGGTGCGGCTGTTCCTTCAGTGTGATCCCTAGTTACCCCAAGAACCGAAGAGCCGACGGCACTGACCTTTCCAGGCAGACGGCTTCTTTCTGCGGCTGTGCTTGCTGTTGCAAATGTCCTGAAAGTTCTGCACCACCTCTGGGTTCAGCCCATGGTCCCTCATGACGGCCAGGACCTTCCTGTCCATCAGGTTATGGGACCGCAGGCAGTTGGGGTAACTGCATTCCCCCCGCGTGAAGTGCTCGCAGATGTGCAGCCGCTCACACAGCGGCTGCTGCAGACATGTCTGCTTGTGGTTCTCTCCCTTGTAGCTCTTGCAGATCTGCAGGAGGGAGAAGCAAGAGTCGGCGAAGGGTTCCCAGGACCTGGCACACATCCTACCAAGGGAGGAGCAAGCGAGCGCAGATTTCAAAAGCGAGCAGTGGAAAACCAAGAACAACAGCCCTCGGAGGATTTGCCCAGCTTGAGTAAAGCGTGTGAGATCTTGTTATGTCAATAGCGTTGGGCCAGAGTGATAGTACAGCAGGGAGGGCGTTTGTCTTGCATTCGGCCGACCTGGGTTCAATCCTCGGCATCCCATATGGTCCTCTGAGCACCACCCCACCAGGAGTTATTCCTGAGTACAGAGCCAGGAGGAACCCCTGAGCATCGCTGGGTGTGACTCAAAAAGAAAAAAAAAAAAATTAACAGTTTTACAGGTGTAAGACAACAGCTGATCTGCCATGGAGTTCTCCTGTCTGGACTCCAGGATTTGTACTTGTTTACATCAGGAAAGACCAAACAAAAAGCAGCTAATTTTTCCAGTCAAGAAAATAAATATATTTTATCTCTTACAAAAAAGCCAGAACTGGAAAGTCAATGTTTTGTAAGACTATTGTGACAAATGTCAAAGCTGCTAATTCAAACACTCAGAGGAGACACTTTCATTTTACTTGTATGTAATAAACCCCCAACGTTTCCATCAAAAAAAAAGGGGGGGGCTGGAGCAATAGCACAGCGGGTAGGGCATTTGCCTTGCATGCGGCCGACCTGAGTTCAATTCCCAGCATTCCATATGGTCCCCTGAGCGCCGCCAGGAGTAATTCCTGAGTGCCAGGAATAACCCCTGTGCACTGTCAGGTGTGACCCAAAAAGCAAAAAAAAAAAAAAAAGAATACATAGATTCAAGTTGAGGATAAATATATTTGGGGGTCAGAGAAATAGTGCAGTGGGTAAGATGCTTGTCTGGTACATGGCTAACTGGGTTTGATCCCTGGCACCCCATACAGTTCCCCAAGATATCGAGGAGTGACTCCTGAGGGTAGAGTCAGCAGTAACCCCTGAGCATCTTCAGGCATGTCCCAAACCCTCCCTCAGTCAAAAGAGAGCAATACAGATATTCTAGTTACGAGTACATATATTGGGCTTGGCAAGTATTTGGTCTTGGTTGCAACTATTCAATGTCCCCATCACATGGAGAGAGCAGCAGCAATCAGGACATAATGGGTATGGCTGTGTTCCAATAAAACTTTATTCATAAAATAGGTAGCAAGCCAGACTGGGCTTACTAAAACACTGAGGAGTGAAATTATATTTTATTGGGGGCTAGAGAGATGGTACAGCAGGGAGGTTCCTTGCTTGTACACAGTCAGGCCGGGTTCAATCACCAGGATCACCTATGCACCCCCCACCCCCAGTAGTGGTCCCCAAGCGCAGAGCCAGGAGTAAACCCTGAGCACAGCCAGGAGGGGCCCCCAAACCAATCAAAACCAAAACAAATGTTTTGAGACCTCTATGACAGTAACATGGCCTGAACTCCCAAGCCAATACACCCAATGATCTTCCAAATTTCTTCTCCAGACCCACCAAGTCCTACTTCCGTATCTTTAGATCACATTTGCTCAAACAGCCACCTAGGCGGAGAAATTCCTGATTCCAACTCTCTGAAAGACTCAAAGAAGGAGGGAAGGGGCTGGAGAGATAGCACAGCGGGTAGGGCATTTGCCTTGCACAAGGCTGACCTGGGGTTTGATTCCCAGCATCCTACATGGTCCCCTAAGCACCGCCAGGAGTAACCCCTGTGCATCGCCAGGTGTGACCCAAAAAGCAATAAATAAATAAATAAATAAATAAATAAATTTTTTTTAAAAAAAGGAGGGAAATGGCTGCATCCCATGCCAGTTGAGCCGGTGGGTCCTGGTGCTGACTGGGAGCTGGGGGTAGGGGTCTCTCGAGATGCCGCCCCCGCTGGCCTCTGAAGCACCCAGCACTCACCTCTGGCAGAAAGAAGGGGTCATTCTGGAGGAGGAGCACTGTCAGTTCCTCTTTATTAAGTCCCCACAGCTCATGCGCGGTCAGGACTTTCATGTTGTCTTCTGAGAAAATCTCATGAGAATATTTGCATAAATTCCTGGAAGGAAACAGAACAATCGTCAGCGCTTCACGCCAGGAAACTCAGGTGGCAGGTTCGTAAATACTGTACACGCAGAGGCCAGCAGGGTAGAAACAGCAACAATCCAGTCCGAAGAAAAGAAAGCCATCACACAGGGAATGAAGGCGGTGAGGATCAATGCTGCGTCCTTTGTTTTCTGTTCTTGTTTTGGGGGGGTTGGGGGCACACCAAGCAGTGCTCAAGGGTTACTCCTGGGTCTGTGCTCAGGAACGACCCGGGCATTTCTCAGGGGACCATATGTGGTGTCAGGGATTGAATCAAGGTCAGCTGCAAACAAGGCAAGCGCCCTACCTGCTGTATTGTATCGCCAGCCTTGCATGCATCTTTAAATAATTAAGGAAGGTCGGTCCTATTTAAGGCATACACTTGGGATGCGGCTTAGCAAGAGAGCATTATTTGCCTCATTAAGTGTGAGTCCCTGGGTTCAAAAACAGAATCTATATAAAAAAGATAAATGGAAGGGGGGGGGGCAGAAGAGCGATAGTCTAGTGGGTAGGGTGTTCGCCTTACACACAGTCGATCCTGGTTCAATCCTGGCACCCCATACGGTCCCCCAAGTAACATCAGTAATAATCCCTGAGAAAAGAGTCAGAACTAAGCCTTGAGCACTGCTGGCTGTGACCAAGAAAAATTTAACTAAAAAAAAAAAAAAAGATAAACTGGGGACTAGAGCCTGGCAAGCTACCCGTGACGTACTCGATATCCCAAACATAGTAACAACAAGTCTCACGATGGAGACGTAACTGGGCCCGCTCGAGCAAATCGATGAACAACGGGAGGACCGTGACCGTAACCGTGGGAACTAGAGAGATAGTATAGGATGTAAGGGGCTTGCCTTGCCCACGACAGACCCGAGTTCAATCCCAGCACCCCAGATGGTCCTCTGAGCTACACCAGGAGTGATGGCTGAGAGCACAGCCAGGAGTAAGCCCTGTGTATCACTGGATGTGGCTGAAAAACTAAAAAAAGATTAATTGGAGGAGGCTGGAGCAATAATACAGTGGAGAGGGCATTTGCTTTGCACATGACCAACCCAGGTTCAATCCCCAGCATCCCACATGGTCCCCCAAGCAACACCAGGAGTAATTCTTGAGTACAGAGCCAGGAGTAACCCCTGTGCATCGCTAGTGTGACCCAAAAACCCAAAATAAAAAAATCACTGTCACTGTCACTGTCATCCTGTTGTTCATCAATTTCCTCGAGCAGGCACCAATAACATTTCCATTCGTCCTAGCCCTAAGATTTTATTTTATTTATTTATTTTTTACTTTTTGGGTCACACCCAGTGATGCTCAGGGCTTACTCCTGGCTTTGCACACAGGAATCACTCCTGGCGGTGCTTGGGGGACCATATAGGATGCTGGGAATTGAACCCAGGTAGGCCGCGTGCAAGGCAAATGCCCTACCCGCTGTGCTATTGCTCCAGCCCAGCCCTGAGATTTTAGCAAGTGCCACACTGGAGGCTACTTCAGAGTCAGAGGAATAAGACCCATCGTTGTTACTGGGTTTTGGCATATTGAATACGCCACGGGGAGCTTGCCAAACTCTGCCGTGAGAGCAGGAAACACCTGGTAGCCTGTCGGGTTCTTCAAGAGTGAGAACTAGACAATAAGAGGTCGATAAAATCCGGGAGCTGGGTTTTATAGTCCCTGGGTCTAGGCCATTGATGGGATAACACGGCGCCAGGGGTAGTTGGTGGGTGTAGCGCCTAGCTACTGGAAGATGGGGGATCTGGGTGGAGGAGGCCCCAGTCCCAATCCAAGCAGGCTTGGAGAACTCAGCCCCTTGGAGAACTCAGTCTTTTGGTAAGGAAGGAAAAAGGGAAAAATGGATTTGGGCAAAAACTAGTAACTGCACAGTTACTAGTTTTCTGAATACTTTCTTAAAATAGAATCTTTTGTTTTTAAAAAAGGTTATATGATGCAGCTAGTCATTCACTAACGATGTTCTTGTTTTGGGGAACACACAGAGAAAACGTCCCAATGTCCCTTACAATTAAATAAGATAAAAATTCATGCGGGCTGGAGCGATAGCACAGCGGGTAGGGCGTTTGCCTTGCATGCGGCCAACTGACTGACCTGAGTTCAATTCCTCTGCCCCTCTCGCCCGCACGGCAAAGCCTGGCAAGCTACCCAAGACGCATATTCGATATGCCAAAAACAGTAACAACAAGTCTCACAATGGAGACGTTACTGGGCCCGCTTGACCAAATCGATGAACAACGGAAGGACATTGCTACAGGACAATAATTCATGTATGAAAGGTAGTAAATGGCCCCCCACTTACTGACCTTGGATATGGACAGACTAAATGGAAACACAGCAGTAAGATGTCATTAGTCTCAGTGCTGACTGCAACTTAGAGTGAGCAAAATATTGTCCCTGGGCCAATCCTGCCTGTGCCCACATTGTAAATTAAATGTTACTGAACACAGTCTGCTGTATTTACCCAATAAAGCCAATCAGATTGGCAAATTCGACCCCCACCCAGCAAAGGATGGTTGCAGAGAATGAATCTAACATACAAAGAGATAAACAAACACTCAAGAACTGTCCAAGCTTTAGGATTAGCTGGACAGCCTTCCGTGAGCTCACACAGGCTCACCATTTACTCAGTACGATATCACTCTCCAACCTTGACTCCCAACACCTAAGTCACTGTGTAAATTGACAGAGACATTAAGGATAGCTAGTAAGCACATCCAAATTCAGTGGGTACATTAAGAGCAGAGGCTATGACTTTTCACATAGCTAATGAATCAACAGGCACTCTCAAAGTACAGATTAGAATTGTGACCATTTCCAAATAGATCTTTCCCTGTTTCTCTCTACGTGTAAAAAAAAAAACCCTAGATTTTAAAAATTTTAATCTTTTCTGGGCATGCAAATTTGCCTCACCTCTTCTACTGTATTCCTTCCTGGGCACAAGTTTGCTTGCCTTATTATTCTCTAAGACATAAACTGTTTTGTCCAGAGAAGTATTCCGTGGGCAAAATATAGAAAATAATAAATAAATATAAAATTTTTCACAGGGCTGGAGCTATAGCACAGCGGTAGGGCGTTTGCCTTGTGCACAGCCAGCTCAGCCGAGCCGGGTTCGATTCCTCCGCCCCTCTCGGAGAGCCCGGCAAGCTACCAAGAGGATCTCGCCCACACGGCAAAGCCTGGCAAGCTACCCGTGACGTATTCAATATGCCAAACACAGTAACAAGTCTCAAAATGGAGACATTACTGGGCCCGCTTGAGCAAAATCAATGAACAACGGGAGGACAGTGTTTGTTTTTTTTTTTTGTTTTGAAGTTTTTCACTATCACTATCACCCCGATGTTCATCAATTTGCTCGAGCAGGCACCAGTAATGTCTCCATTCGTCCCTGTCACGTGCTAGTGTAGCCCGATGGCATATTGGGGGCTCTTTCAGGGTCAGGGGAATGAGGACCATCATTGTTACTGTTTTTGGCATATCGAGTATGCCACGGGGAGCTTGCCAGGTTCTGCTGTAAGGGTAGGATACTCAGTAGCTTGCCAGGCTCTCTGAGAGGGATGGAGGCTTTTGGGGAAGCCTCTAATCCATGAAATCTTTTTTTAAAAAAAAGATAAATCGGAGAATCAGCTAATAGGAAGAGGGAAGAGGAACGTTTTTCCTCTGTTTCATAGACTACACGCACTCTTACCCTTCTGTTTCTTTCGGGGAACACACCTGGCAGAACCTGAGCTGACTGAGCTGGGTAATACCCGGGCACACAAGGTATGTGCCCTACCTTGGACCCACAGCCACTTCCCAACCTTGCCATACTTGTTTGTTTGGGGCCCTGATACCCAGCTGTCCTCAGGGCTCTGAGCTCAGGGATCACCCCAGTGGGGTGTTGGGATGGAACCCCAATCGGACACATACAAGGCAAGCACCCTAGCTGCTGAGTTCCCTCTCATCCCTGCAAAGCTGTTTGAACAGCTGTTTCTCTAGTATCTATTACTGGAGAAGGAAAAACCTGGCATAGAAACTAAAACCATCCCCCCCCCCCTTTCTGACCACACCCGGGGCCATACCCGGGGGTACTCTCAGCCAGGTGCTCGGGGCTGTTCCTTGTGGTGCTCAGGAGAGCGATGCCAGGAATCCAATCAAAGCACGTGCTGGGGACGAAGGGTCAAGAAGGCTCCAAATAAGATCTGTGGTTACTTCACTGCTTGTCTACTCCTGAAATTCTTTTCTGCGACACAGGACAGAGTACCTGGAAACCCTGGGAAAGGCCTAGGACTGACTTTCCTTTCCTGCAAAGGGCAATTCAGGCAATTCCAGCCCGAGAGATCAGGTGGCGGGAATCAACTCCCATGCCTAGAAGACCAAGTAGATACCAGGCGTGACTTGACGGCCACCTGGTGGGGCTGGCTGGGCTCTGGCCTGTGTCCTACAGGGGCTCACCCAGACTTTATCGGTCTTAGCTTCCCCTTAGCCGGTCCAGGGCAGGCAGAGGTGGATCGGGAGAAAGTGACCATCTTTCTCCTCCCCGCCTCACACAAGCCACCGTGGGGGCCCGGTGACAGCAGCAACACAGTGAACAGTGGCAGACCTGGATGGGGACCAGTGTCCAGGGCGAAGTCTGCTGATGTGTCCCCTCTCTAAGAATTCTGTCTCGGCCCCAGAGCGCCAGTGATAGCCAGGAGGGTCCAACCTGGGGACAGAGTGAACTCCAGGTCCTCGTGGGGTTGCCGAAGCCCACAATTCTCAAAATGTAGGTCCCAGACCAGCCTGGTCACACCCCTCCAAGGAGATGGGACGTTTTGTCGGGCGGCCCCACAATGATCTCTGAAATGCCCACATGTGCCGAGAATCTTCTATACATCTTGCTGTCACTCCCATCCCAGAAGGGGCTAATCTGGAGAAAGCAGAAAAGAGCCCTGGGATACACAGTTAAAGGCTCCTCAAGGCAGTGCTCAGGGGTTACTCCTGGCTTTGTGCTCA